GGTAGTTTAGTTCGAAATTACTGACTATATGGTTCACTTGTTAACTGTTTTCTAAAGAAGTTACCCAATCTTCTCAACAACATTGAAAGCGACCACTGGAATTCAATCCATGTCGGGTATGAAACAGTTATCCGTCACAGACATTAGATAATACAACGCAGGATCATGGACCACAACGCATTCTAAATAAAAGTGTATCCTAAGTGCATTATGCCGCTAGTGGCAGAGAGCGAAACAAATCTTCCATAACTATTATTAAATGAATAGTAAAACATACATCAGATGTCCATAGGTCCTATGAAAGCTTAAAAGGGGAATATGATTATCCTCTCATCATTTAACAATGATAATGATGTCGCTATACGACTCAGCTATATTATTGCTTAGTATTCCTCGAACATTGTACAACACTCAACTAGTCTCCGAAATCAGAACATGGCTTGAACCAAATTGAATGTTTTAGGAATCATATTAATGAAGACGTTAGTATATTTGTAATTTTTTAAGCAGGGATATTCACCAGTCTTCAGCTGTTCCTTATCGTTGGTTGGCTCAGAATGAGCCAATCAATATAATCTTGCATTGAATGGGTTTTAATCCTATCTATATCTTGCTAACAAACAAACAGTAATAATCCTTTATGTAGGTTCAAAAGTTCCAACTTTTTTCACTACTTGCTCCGTTAGAACATGACTTACTAACCGACTCATATCTACTAAGACAAATAATTATATTGTTTTCTATGTTCCTTCGTTGTGTAAAGTTTTAGGAAAAGTTTTTTCTGATCGTTCGAAGTTCAAAAAAGACATTTTGTATTATTTTACCAAATAAGCATTATGACTATACAGTAAAACTGATCTCATTTCTTTACCGCGGTAGATCTATTCCATTGATATCTTCTTGAATTAACTGGAAGAGAAAATTTATTTAATAGCTGCATGACTTCACAGAACTTCAATATTATACCCATTTTAAGCTAGGTTATTCATGAAATTCTTATTGAGTTTCTGCCAATTAGTATAGACATTCATTCATCCACCAAGGGAATATAAACTAACATGAAATACACTGATCCTGGTCACTATCACATCGTCATCGTTGGATTCAACGGCAGTTCATTTCACTCACTATGTAAACTTTTACGGAAAGTCTATATATATATATTTGTCATTATGGGGTTGTGGAGATTGTTGAACTTCACTGAACTTCATTAGACAACTGCTAGAAACTTTAAGTTACTGATTGACTGTCTCGTCCTAGTTCATGATGACTCCACAACTATGCAACCGGGAATCTAAATTCAAAATTGGCTTTGTACTCGAACGCTCAAACTCTAGACCACTGGCCTGGTCATCCATTAATTAGTTTGTAAAACTAGCTCCAATCAATTTATTTATTTATTTAAAATAGAAATATTTTCATGTTAAGGAACACGTCACCAGTAGTCACTTTATTCATTCATTGTTTAGTGCAGTGTGCAATTCGCAGCACATATCACTAATAAAAATTACACATGAAAAAAGGTTTGATAATTTAAAATGATTTCGTATTTACTACTTATTGATGATGATAATAGTCCTAATTAATTAATTTTTGCTTACATCAAATGATTCTTATCACGTAAACTGTATTAACATGTAAACAAATCTTTAATAATTACAGTGTATGACTCTTATTCTATCTTAAATAAATTGTTGTTTGCATTTTTCTAGCGCTCTATTGTGTAGTAGTGGGCTTGTTTTTTCTTTTGTCATGTGAAATAAGAATTCCACTTTCTAATATAACAACTATGTTACCCTTGTGTGTGCAGCATTGTGTTTTTCTTTGTCTATCATCTGTGTATGTTGTATTAATGTTTGATTTGTAAAATGACTCAGGTAATTTGCATTTTTCTTTGTCTAACTAACATAAAATTCCATTAATTTTGCTGCATACACACAAACGTGTGATTTTATCATCAACAAATGTACTTTTCCTTACTATTTTGCATCTGTCAATCAATCCAGAGTCTTGAGAAATCATAACCAGCGCTTAATCACCTGATCACTAAGTTAGCATCTAATGACTGGATGTTTTGAACACCAGTCAATTTGTGATATTGCCATCGGTGATACTCGACCTAAAAAACCAGTTTGGTTGAAATTTCATTTCTGACAACTCACTAGAATACCGATGATTACCGCTTAAAATTAGTTACTCGCAAGCATAGAATATAAGTGATTATAGGATATTGTTTAGGTTATTAAGTTCGATTTGTGTTTTTAACACTACCTTGTCCTACTTACTTCAACTTTATTTTAGATAAGTTGCAATGAATTTTCTAGTCATACTGTAGTGAACGAGAACACAGGTGGGGCAACCGAATTGTATTTAACGAAAATTACAGAGTTACTCAGTAAAATCGGAAAACCATATCGTAAATCGTTAATTTGCAAAATATCAGTCCATCATATCGAACTGGACTGTTCCTGTTGCAAAACATCACTCCATTGTCACTATTCATGCGTTTCATACAAATTCCATTGTGTTCTAACTCTTCCTTTCTTGTTGATCTTCCCCCATCTTCTGCTGCCAGACATTACGTTGACACTCACGTCATATACTACTTATAAGTAGCTTGCACCACAATACTATTAATTTTTACCATGATGTTGTTGTAGGTAACTGGGATTGATGACCGAAATCAATCAATCAATCCTTAAAGCTACAAACTATAGTTGTTGCCTAAAACTTACCAGTAGCTGTGTTGTCATGTTCATTTCTCGTTGTTTTTTCTTTTCTAAAAAGAAAATAATTTTTCTATACACAATGTCGAATTCTGTTTGTGATTTTAATTAATCCACTTTCCAGTCTATTTTATCACTTATCTATAGTATCAGTCAATGATCTATATTCTTGCTAGTTATATGAAATAGATGAATTATCGTTTAAAGTATGTATGTGTTCTATTCCGTTTTGCGACTAGTTGCAACTGGTTGTATCTTATATTTCACATGTGATATTCACACTGAAACTCAAACCCGATACTTTTTGCTTCAAACGCCAACTTGTTATCCGATGAGTTACTGTTGTGACGCTTGCTTAGATAATTCAATTCCCAGCTAAATCCTATCGCTTAGTACTTTCTGACCACAATACACTGGACACGCTCCCAAGAATCAAAAACACGATTAACAGGAAAAGATTATATTCCAAATAGCAAGGTTAAATGGAAATAAGAAGCCAAAAGTGATGGCGAAGGCAAAAATAGATACAACGTTTGTTTATTTATAGCATTTGCATGAGAAGCTTCTGGATAGAAATTCACGCGATCGACTGGATTAGATTTAACCAATCAGCACGCAGCTAACAATACGTGCATTTTCTACCCTGTTCTCCAAGAATCGATCAGGCGTTGATTGGATAGGAGATTAGCCAATCAGAGCGCAGCAACGAAGTCATGTTTTAATTCCATTTATGTCCCACTAAAAGTTACTGAATCTAATTAAAGAGTTTAGAGCAATGTAATATGTGAATTTTAAACTCCACTGTTTACTACAATCCATCAAGGTTAATCCGTACAGGATGTGTACCAAATACACCAAGAAAGACTGTTTTCAATCCAACGATGGCCAACAGTACGATAATTCTAGCACTTTCTAATCATGATAATATGCAAACATTTTAATTGTTTGTCTTTCCTCTTTGTTTTTTCAATCAGACTTTTTCATTTAATTTGCTTTACAATAATACTATTAAAAAAAATGCACAATTTACTATTTTAATTAAATTAAATATACATTCCATTTTCATGGGTTTTTTTGTTGTTGCCAAAATCAGTTTTTATTTTAGAAAAAAAGACAGTTTTAATCATGTGCTTACACATACACTATTATTGTGTTGACGTCATTTTCCCCTTCCACAGTCACTCCACTTCATAAATAAATAACACAAGAGGACCATTATACACACTAAAAGTGTGTTTATCAAAAAAACAATTCATTTTATTCTATTGTTTGTCTTTTACTTAATATTCAACAATAAGAAAAGAAAAATAATCAACCCTCACAGTTAAAAACACTGCACAAACACATCTCACGTATTTAATGAACGTGTAAATTTCGATTAATTGTGTGCATTGTGCATATGTTAATTGTGTAGTTCTACGTAGCTAGCTGTTAATTGATTGATTGATTGAATTACGTAGTCTCATATAATTTATCTCAAACTGTCAATTTCTTTCTTATTTGAAGATTAATCTATAAAAATGTAAAGTAGTTTATAGTAATAATTATTTCAGCGATTTCCAGCCTAAATGAAACTATCATTATTTCCTTGGTTAATAAAATTAAAAGACATGTAGGTATATATGTACCTCGAGCCATACTTGATCGACAGTATAGTAGTAGGTTGGAAAGAAGCTAGCAGTGACTAAACGACTGAACGTGACATCAGTCCGTGAAATTGTTGACTGTTGATCTGTATCATGTTCATCGATGAAAACCACCTAGTTGGGATCTCTGTTGTAACTGTGATCGAAGATCAGAGTTGTGTGAGATGATCCAGAGTCACTGACATTGGTGTATATGTGTTTGTTTTGTATCTTCATCACCAGTATTCATTCATTCATACCTGTCTTTTCAAACCATGTTCCCTATCTTTAATCTCTCTATCATCGCCACTACAATTATTTAGATTGTTTTTCTATTTTCGTTTTGTGCTAATATGATATGGTAATTTAAGCAAGCACACATTTAGTCGAACTCCACGTTGATGATATCTGTCTGGCTATCTGCCCGTAGTCAGTGTGAGGTGATGATCAAGCGGGTGTCCATGAACGCTGGCATGATGTTCATTTCGGTATTCACGGTTAGAGAGTATTCACAACTTCAAGACATAACATCAAGTCGTAGATTACTGACTGATATAAACCATGTCGAAAAGTTCGAACTTCCTGAATATGTGAGGCTTATCTAACAATTACTGTAATCTTTTTTTTCTTGTACATTTCTATTTTATAGGTCCACATAATTGGCCACCATTCCCTGCATTCTGTCCATGTAAACCATGTGTTCGACAAGATTTTGAAAATGATATCCCATTCGATTGTCGATGGATGGCTAAAATGGGTTATGGTATTTGGTTGGGTTATGCTACCTTGTTAATATTCAATATGTTTGGAGCATTAGGCTATTTTATTGTTGGTAATGGTGCAGCTGAAGGACCATTGTTTGGTGCATCAATTTTATTAATGCTTGTTATGCCACCTGTTAGCTTTTTCGGTTGGCATAGACCTTTGTACAAAGCATTAAGGTAAATATTAACCCCTTTTTTCTCTATCAATAATAGTTTCGAGTGATTTTTTCTGGAGATTGTAGAATTTTCGTTGCTTAAATCATGAACTGAAAGCACTGGATGACCATTTCATCCTAGTTAGTATGAGTCTCTTCAACAGTGTGGATTCTACAATTTTCACAAATCTCGTCATACTATAACAGCAATCATGTGTTCACCAGTGGCTATCTTCATGATGCAACACTCCCAAAGTTCTGGTGAAGAACCGTGACCAGTGAAGTTTAGTGTCACACGATAATGTGTATTGATTGGAGTTGAACAATAACACCGTAGGGTGCTAGCTTGGTTATTTTGAGGCTTCTTACTCATATATGATACCGGTCCTGGGTTCAGTTCGGTCCGAGTTTTCAGTGGTGATCTAGTGTTAAGATCGATTTGTGAATTTAAATCATGAAGATATCCTAGTAGTTTGTATTACATATACATAGAAGTGCGTTTTAAGTCTACTGTCAATTTAACTGTTTTTTTTCTAGGTTGTTAAATCAATACTCAAGTTGTAAAATGAAATCATTAGATCTCCAGTTCATTACAAAACCTAAGAGTTTCGAGTCCCAGCGCGTATGAAATTGCAGGTGTACAATGCTGATGAATTTCTAATTAGGACAAAGTTTAACTGTTTGTTTCAAAATGTATACATTAATTGTTTTGAATAATGTTTTTTGACTGTTTGCTACATATTTTCAAGCCTTATATTAATACTAGTTTTTGGTATAGAATAGGTCTGTCAGTTCTAACCAATTGAAATTTGCTTCTCCGCTGAATAGCCGATTACTTATGATGGATGACTAGCCATCCATCATATTTAGAATGATAACTTCACAGTTGAATGCTTAAATTTGTAGTTAGTTTAATGATATGTAATAGATCTTTTTTAATGTATCCCTCTCACTCACACACTTATTTTCGTTTTGTTTTTAACTTGATCAGATCAGACAGTTCAGCGAATTATTTGATATTTTTCCTTTTCTTTTCTGGACAAACTATAATCATTTTGATACAATGCCTTGGCATTGATTATCTTGGATCATGGTAAGCTGGAAATAATCTAAAAAAGGAAATATTTTTTTGTTAGTGTTTTTTTTTCCATAAAAAACATTTTTTTTGGTCACAATATGCACTTATCCGGTTAGCTTAGTTGCATAGATACACTCCGCTTCTTTTGTTCTTATCAAGTTCTTGAACATGAGAAATACTTTGCTCAGAATCAAAGTTACTAGATGATGCACTTGGTATTATTTATTTGTTCAAAGTATTCTAAATCCAAATGATATTATACTGTTATTATTTTTAGTGACCCTGAATGACATGGCTTGAAACTGTTTGCAATGGCTCATATGCATCCACTCTTAGTATTTATTCTCTCAAAATCCTAACCTTTTGAATTCCTCATCATCTTTTTTTTAGTTTATTTCACTAGATTCTACTTCTTGAATAATATCTTCTAAGCCGATTACTACTATAATACCTTTACTACCTCTACTACTACTAATACTGTAGTGAACGAGAACACAGGTGGGGCAACCGAATTGTATTTAACGAAAATTACAGAGTTACTCAGTAAAATCGGAAAACCATATCGTAAATCGTTAATTTGCAAAATATCAGTCCATCATATCGAACTGGACTGTTCCTGTTGCAAAACATCACTCCATTGTCACTATTCATGCGTTTCATACAAATTCCATTGTGTTCTAACTCTTCCTTTCTTGTTGATCTTCCCCCATCTTCTGCTGCCAGACATTACGTTGACACTCACGTCATATACTACTTATAAGTAGCTCGCACCACACTACTATTGGATTTGAAGTGACAATTACATCTCTCTGTGCTAATGTTGTGTGGTATGGCAACTTGGACTGATGTACGTACGTGTGTACGTACGTAGTTCTATGTTGATGTTGATTGATTGATTTACCGAGTAACTCGTACACTCTCGACTTCTTTCTCTTCTCTTACTCTTCATCTTTTCTTAATTCATCAAATTTATTCGGCAAGTTTAAACCCACCATTCATACAATAATTGTTACACATTCATTCTTATTGTTTAATGTCTAGTTATTAGTGATTTGTTGCCTTGTCTTTATTAGAACCTTCTATACTATGGTTGTTGTTTTTTTTTCATGTAAGTTTTCATATTTTAATATATATGTATGGGTTACGTCTAGTAAAACAACACGAACAAAAAAGCGAAAGGCAATCAATTAAACTTTTCTCTTTGGTTTTTTCTTCAGTATTTCAAAAAAGGAAAAAATGGCATGTCTATTTTCTGCCTTTTTTTTACAACATAATCGTTTCACAAAAACTAAGTTGTTGTTTTACATTAGACTCAAATACTTAACTTACTTACGCCTGTTACCCCCAATGGAGCATGGGCCGCCGACCAGTTTTCTCCAACCAACTCTGTCCTGGGCTTCCCTCTCCAGTTCTGTCCAATGTTTGTTCATTTCTCTCATATCTTGATCTATTTCTCGGCGTAATGTGTTCCTTGGCATTCCTCTTTTCCTCTTGCCTTGAGGGTTCCATGTGAGGGCTTGTCTTGTGACGCAGTTAGGTGCTTTTCGTAGTGTCTGTCCTATCCACTTCCACCGCTTCTTCCTGATTTCCAAGATGTTACTCAACAAGTATAATTCAGTGAATAAATCTAGAAAGAGGAAGATAGTGGTGATGACACCCAAGAGTGGATGCACCTGTGCCATGTCGTTCAAGGTCTGTAACCATCAATTACTATCGTCCCGCGAACCCCAACCAATTAGTCTACATCTACCAACATGGCTCAGTTGGTATATATATATATATATATATATATATATATATATATATAGCGAAGATTTCCTCAATCATTCAACTACTAAAACATTGCTTTTCTCAAGTTTTTATTCACCATGCAGATGACTCATAGTGAGTGTTCCATAAGTGTCTTATTATTTTTGTTGTAGTATCCATTTACCACCGATTATTTTCATCTATTCATCATCCAAAAGTGTTTTTAAACCCACTTGAACCATTAAACCACACTACAACAACCCCCAGTAATATCTAACTCCATAAGAATCAATTAATCACAATAAATTCACATTTATAAGAGGTCAGATGCGAGAACTTGTCATTTGACCTTTACTCTTTAGCGTCCTTTAGCAAAGATATTTTCTAAGTGATCGGTTTACTAACACCGTACTCAATCAACCCTTCTCTATCCGAAATTGAAACTGGCAGTAACCCTAGCAAAATCTTTTGAATTATGTGTATTTATATGTGTGAAATGTTAACTCAGTTAAGTTGTTCGACTTCCAGTCTCGCTTCAACTGGTTCTTCAATTTGCACAAAGTTAACTATATAATTTTATGTACGTAGTAAATGAGTCAAACGAGAAATTAATCTCACCGCCACAAAAATCAATGTTTATTACTGGAATTCATTTAGAAATGTGTATTTTTTTTTCTTGATGATTAGTGTATTAACGTGTTTTATAAAATAATTAGTTTTTGGTGTATTATGTATGTATCATCAGGAACTTTTGAATAGTTATTGTATAAATAATAGTAAATAAACTTTTATTTATAATGCATTTCATCAATGTGATCCATTTTCATTTTTGCATGACAATCCATCTCGTATTGATTGATACACAACAGTGGTTGGATTAATGGCATAAAAACTTTAAGTCATAATGATGGTGTTGGTGTTCTGATGTTATTGATCGCTACAATATTCAGTATTCTTGCAGGATTTTGTACCTTCTTGTTATTTAAGGTAAGTTTTGAGAAAATTTTTTTCTCTTTCCTCTATTCATCAAATTGAAGTTTGTGTTTTTTTCACCATCTATGTTCTTTCTTGTGCTTGATGAAACTCTGGTTATATAGATTAGGGAAAATCATCTATGCTCAATGGAACACTAATACTGTCAAGTGTACGCAGAGATATATGTTGGCAGCAAAATGTTTCTCTCAGAAAAACCAACTTCCTTAGAGATACTGGCTTTTTGCAACGATGTGAGAGGCCTAGATAAAGTTGATTTTAGAAATCTTACACCTTGCGCGCCTTACCTGCTGAATTTTCATTGCTAGATGTGATTGATGTCCATAAAGTAAAGAGCAACTGAAATATCAAGAGTCTTTCACAAAAAAAAACAACCGTGTAGCACAGGCTCTAAAAACTGTTGTCCTCTAGGTTCGGTGGCCACATTATCTACTTGAATGTGAACACACTTCAAGTATATGGGTAGCCGAACCGAAAATAGGTGGAGATGAGTTCAAACCTAGTTTGTAGTCATAATATGCTTTAAGAAATAGACCATTGCTCTACTATGTTGGCTATCGATAAGTAACCACAACAGCCCTTATTATACCTCTAACAGTGCTTGAGGATCACCCTGTACATTTACACATGCATCATTTATTTCCTCATACCGTTTTATTTATTTTTTTGTTTCAGGTCCACAGATATTATCGATCATCTGGAGCAAGTTTACATAAGGCTAAACTAGAAATGGCCAATGCAGGCGTATTTGAACGTTCCGGAGGATTTGGTGCAATGCCATAAATATTAGACAGACAGACAGACAGATAATAATAATAACAATAATGAACGGAACTACGCTCAAACAATTGTGATCACATAATAAACAGGCAGAAAAAAGTGTATTCATCACCAATATTTACACAATTCTTTTAAAAAAAAGAAACCAAACATATCTATTTACCCTACCCTTGAAATAAATTTCCAGTGATATCACTTTCTTATTGTCATTGTTGTGTTTTTTCCTTCTGTTTCTTGTGTTTACACTTTCATGTCAAACAAACTAACTTAACTAATAAAATGGCTGTGAGATTTTCTTTTTTATTCATCATCAATAATCTATCTAATGAATATTGTTCTTCTACTTTATAATAATAATAATAATACATATTTATTGTGTACACACAATTCAATCATCATCATATCATGACGGGTATTTGTTTTTTTTTGGGGGGGGGAAACAAAAAATCACTCACCTCTTCTTTTTTTTAAATTTTATTTTTTTGGTCATAAAAGTGTGTGTGTGAATTGTGTTTTGTTTGCATATTCATTGTTTTGTTTTGTTTTGTTTCTGGTTGGTTTTACTACTAACACTTACTATCACTACTACTACCATCACCATTACCACACTCATATTTGTTTACTTATCACTGTTATTATTGTTAATTTATCATCTTTATTCTTTTCTCTCTCTCTCTCTGTGTTATATATATATTTATATTATATGAGTGCGTTTGGTAACATTTGTTTTTGTTTTGTTTTGTTTTTCAGTTTGCTCAATTGTTTTTTTTTTGAAAAAAAGACAAACAAACCGTTTTTATCATCATGTGTACTCTATCTACTAAGTAGTTTGATTGAATAAAAATGAAAATAATTTCTAGTGGGTTGTGTGTGTTGTTTCGGATTTAGTAGGGCTTACTACTTTTGTGGCCGGTGAGATTTGACTCGGATATTTATGAACAATTAAATATGCTATGAGATAAGTATCCCCTTCAGTTTATCGTATAATTATACTTAGGCGAACCCCATTTGTGTGTAGGACGGCGGTAATAAAGAAGTCAAATACGGATTCAGTTGGATGAATTTATGTAAACAGACAAACATGAGGATGAAAAGCGTACAGACAGATGCAACGTAGAACTTTGTACGTAAGTACATCAGTTCATGTTGCCTTACCACATCAGCACGGAGATATAATTGTCAATTCAAATCCAATAGTAGTAGAGGTAGTAAGGGTATTAGAAGTAATCGGAGAGGTTAGGATTAGAAGATATTATTCAAGAAGTATGATTCAATGAGATAAGTTTAGAAAGTCAAAACTAGAGGTGTTGAAGAATCCAGAAGATTAGGATTTGAGAGAACACAAAGAATAAATGCATCGGCACCATTGCGAACGATTTTGAGCCATGTCATTCAAGGTCTCTAACCATCGATTATTATCATCTCGCGGACCTCAACCAGGTAGTCGACAACTACCGACATGGCTACGTCCACTTGTCAATGACTTCATGGATTTGTGCCATGTTTCGGTTCGGCCGCCCCTAACTTTCTTCCAACCTACTACACTACAAAACATAGCTCGTCAAGGCAGTCAGTGGTTCGGGATACGCAAGACATGTCCCAACCACCTCAACTGATGAAGTTTCATTACTTCATCGATTGATCTGCCATCCTTACCTAGTACTCGTTTCCTAATAACAGCGTTGCTCACTCGGTTGTCATAGGATATACGAGCAATGCTTCGAAGACACCTATTATCGAAAACCAATAACCGACGAATATTTTCTACTCTCATTGGCCATGTTTCACAGCCATAAAGTAAGACGGAGCGAACCACTGCACAGTACACTCGTCCTTTAGTCAGTAAACGGATATCTCGCCTACGCCATAAGTGACGCAGGTTGGCAAAAGCCAATCGAGCCTTCTGCATCCGAGCTGAGATTCCGTCAGTCACCAGGCCATCAGCACTGATGAGACTCCCAAGTGAAGTGGTCACGCTCGACTACTTCACTCCCTATCACTAGTTCAGGTGCCGATGAAACCCAATCTTGAAGCAACATTTTGCATTTCGAGGGTGAGAACCGCATCCGGAACATGCTTGAATTGTTGCTTAGGATGGTCAGAAGACTCTGCATTTTGTCAGCGTCTTCACCAAGTGGGACAATGTCATCGGCATATTCTAAGTCAATAAGCGAGCCACCTGGTGAAAGGTCTACTCCTGAAAATTCAGACAAGGGTAAGGTTATATGAAAAGCGTACAAGCGAAGCGAAATGGAGAAGGCGAGTGAGCCAGCCACGCATGTATTTGTGGTCAGACAAGCAGTGAGCAAAATAATTGGCTCACACGCTCAAGCAAAAACAGCTAAGATGTGAGCGCGAATGATTGATAAGGTCAAAAGACGAGTGAGTGAATAGTAACTCAGACAGAAAATGTTAAATAGTTTCTTTCCGAAAGCTGGGACAAGTCAAATAGATCAACAACATATTAGTACACACACTGCAAAGTTTGATTTGTTATTTAAAATGTATGTAAAATCTTGGAAAGAAATATTATGACCATTCTCTGACTACATCATGGTCTTGATCAAGTAATTGTGTTTATAATTTGGTTTAATCAGTTAACCTACAGTAAATTTTATTTACCTATAATTGATTCTTGTACTACTACGATTCGCAACGAATAAAAGAACTCGAATGCATCAATATGTCTGATAAACAGCAACAACACTTCAACGTTTAAAATGAACACACACACACTAATATGAGATAGGAAAAACACAATCTCTACGATGGTAATTTTCTATTCCGAACAGAAGTTGAAAAGGAGCAACTTATAGTAGCACTCAATAACCTCGAATTGCCTAAAAGTTGGCAAACTAAAAGTTATAATAACCAATTGTGTGACTGAAAAAAAATCGTTGAAGGAATAATGAACTATTGAAGTGTTTTTTTCGAAGTTACTTTCAAAATAAAGTATACTAAAGTGTAGTAAGAACATTGGATAACGCTAATTGTCCTTATCATTAACTGAAGCAAAGAACAGCATTAGTTCATGAAATGACTGATAGTTGCAAACTACCTGATGGTGTTAGGGATCCCATGATAACCGCAGTCTGTGCTGATTGAAGATTTTGTGTGATGCAACTCTGCATTTCAGATTAACTGGGTGTTTCTTGATTAACTCTCAGTTGTTTTTTTTTTATTGTCTCATTAGTATCATTCACAACTGTTCATACACTCAGTCAGTTGCATCGTAGAACTTCGTACGTATGTACATAAGTTCATGTTGCCATACCACATTATTAGCACAGAGACGCAAATGTCAAATCAAATCCCATAGTGATAAAGATAGCAGAGGTATTAATGTTAATGAAGAAGACGGGTTCGAAGATATTATCCAAGAAATATAAATCAGTGAGATAAGGTTAGAAAGACAAAGGTAGAGATGCTGACGATTCCAGAAGATTAGGATTTGAGAGAGTACAAAGAATGGATGTACTTGCGCCATTGCAAACGATTTTGAGCCATGTCGTTCAAGGTCTCTAACCATCGATTATAATCATCTCGCGGACCCCAACCAGGTAGTCTACATCTACCAACATGACTCAGTCCACTAGTCAGTGACTTCATGGATTTGTGTCATGTTTTGGTCTGGCCGCCCCTAGCTTTCTTCCAATCTACTCCTACACCACAAAACATAGCTCGTCGAGGCAGTAGTCGGTGGTTAGGCATTCGTAACACTTGTCCCAACCACCTCAAGTTCATACACTTCTTTTTATGGATTTATCTTTAACATCTAAATATTATTTATCTCCTCTTGTCTATTTCTAATGTCGTTTCCAATTAAACTTCATTCTTTATATGGTATATGGTGAAAATTCCCCATATGATGATAATCATACTAATATAAATTGAGATAATTTACAATTGATGCATAATCTTGATAATATAATGAGTGAATTGTGATGTTGTTGTTATTCTACAAATCTTATTCTTCTTACAATAATTCAAAACATCATTGTTGAATTAAATTAGTCATCTTGATTGGACAACTGAATCAACCAACATAGAGTATGAATAAATTGATTTTAATATTCCGCTTGTTTTCTGCTTACAAGTTATGATGAAGATTAAAGTAAGCAGTAACTTGAGCAACTAAATTTATGGACAATTGATGCATATAAGCTAATAAATAGTATAATTAAATTAATTGACTAAACTATCAAGGTATATGTGTATATATATTCCCTTTATCATAAGCTCTCTATTGATCCATAAATTATCATAAGATTGCCGATTTTGTTGATAGTTTATTATTTACAATCTCCTATTATACTCATAGTCACTTGTGACGTACTCATTTGTAGTGGTTAAATTCCATTTATTATTAGTACGATATGATCTAGTTGTGTGAAGAATACATAAAGGAATGTTTGAAACAATCTTGCACTAGCTGTGATTGATTCTTCAGTTGGTACGTGTATGTACAATAGTTCAAGTTTTCATATCACATTAACAAATCCCATAGTGGTAGTGGTAGTAAAAGGATGAGCAGTAATCGAAAAGATTATGGATCGAAGATACGATTCGAGGAGTTTAATCCAATGAAATAAGTTTAAAAGGAAAAAACCAAAATCACGAGTAATTCAGATTAGAATTTGAGAGAAGACAAAGAGTGAATGTGTCTGCGTCATTGCAAGCGATTCTGAGAGATATCATTGGAGGTTTCTGAACATTGGTTACCATTATATCATGGAGCCCAACCAGATTAGCCTACACCTACTAAGATGGCTCAGCCCCATTGCCAACGACTTCATGGATTTGTGCCATGTTTTGGCCTGGTTACCCCTAGCTTTCTTTCAACCTATGTAGCTGGACAAGGAATTCGGTGACTAAGCATACGTAACACATTTCCGAACCACCTTAACTCATGAAGTATCACAACTCCATCAGTTGATCTGCCACTCTTACCTAGTACTCGTCTCCTAACAACAGCATTGCTTACTCGGTTGTACCATGATACGCGAGCAATACTTCGGAGACACGTATGATCGAAAACCGGTAACCTACAGGTATCGTCTCTTCCTAGTGGCCACGTTTCACAGCCATAAAGTAGGACGAAACGAAGTACTGCGCAGTATACTCGTCCTTTGGTTAGCAAACATATATCTAGCCTACGCCATAAATGACGCAAGTTGGCAAAGTTAATCGAGCCTCCTGTATCCGAGCTGAAATGTTACACACCAGGCCATCAGCATTGGTGAGTCTCGCGAGATAAGTGAAGCAGTCATCATGCTCAACTGCTTTGCTTTCTATCACAAGTTTAGGTGCCTATGAAACACAATCCCGAAGCAACACTTTGCATTTCGAGGAAGAGCATTGCGTGCCGAATATGCTTACATTTTTACTTAAGGTGGCCGGAAGATTGCATTTTTTTAACGTCTTCACCAAATAGAACTGTCTCATCCGCATGTTGATTAAGTAAGTGAATCTCCTAATAGAAGGCTAACCTCTGAGAAGTCAGACGATGGAAGTACCTTTTCTAAAAGCATGTCGATGACAAAGTTAAATAGAAATGAAAAAGGCGGACAGCTATGTCTTTTGCATATCGCAAGTCAACTACCTGGTAGAGAAGGTCAAGATTTTACTAAAGTTTGGGTTGGATAATGTGATTAGTAAAGTCCAGACCAGTTTTAATTGAAATTTGTCACCATCGGTATTGAATGATCATCGGATTTATTATATTAGTTAATATATGAGACAACTACTTAGTCGGCCTATGGATGATCATTCGCTATGAAACCTTAAGGTTTTGTTTCCAACCTTTCATAAAGTCCTAGATGCGTACTAGTGAAGAGTCATATACTAGTGCTTTTTGGTTTTTCTTGATGGTACACAGAGAGATAAATCTACGGCGATTACAACTTACAATTAAGCTTACTTCTACAAAGCCTTTCTCAATAAACTAACAGACATTCATTACGAATACAGTAACGAAGTATTTTAATCTAAACTCAGCGTTATAATTAGGAGTGGAAAATCGGAATTGTTGTAACATGGGTAAATTCTATTAGAAAAGTGCTTGCATGTTAACAACAGAATCTTTAACATAAATATCGGATTTATACTACTTGTTTACCATTTATTCTCCATTTATAGTCTATTAATACTACACAGTCCTTCATTTATAACAAATACATAGAGATGATGAATTATATGGTATTGGTTTCATGATGAAGGTGGATTTACAACAATTAAAGAGAAATTTTTCTATCCTGTGATCGTTAATTGTTAAAAACAAAAAGCAGGAAAATTTACATTCCAAACTTGACATTTGCCAGTCAATAAGAACGATAAACAACTGTTAGGTCAGAAACGAGGTCAGGAGTAGGAAAAAATCAATACGAGCACAACACATACTGCTACACAAATATAACCGATTAAGTCCTAGCTCATTTTTCGCTGAGGTACAAGTTGGTGATGCTGACTAGAAAGACAATGTAAACTTAAAAACTAAATCATTGAATTCAGTAGACACGAGCCTCTAAAGTCGTTTACATGATGTAGAATGTCACCAACATTTATTTCGTGTGCACCACACTCATTGTATGCAGTGCTGAAGACTAACACCATACACAGAAATTTATATCTTATTCAGCGGCGCAGTCGATAATATAGACAGCCAATAGTTTTTCAAAAATGAAAATTGGAGAAAAAAATCCTGATTCCTACTTGTCTGTTTTAAGTAGTATGAATAATCAGGCTAAATTTGGCAGCTTACTCGCTAGATGACGTTAATTTGGTAGCGATTATTCTAACGAGACTGATCAACTACTTCATAGTTCACAAACTCACACAAACAACTCAGCACGAGATCTAATCCTAAACCATGAGCTCTTTTGGTCTATATTATTGAAATCTAGCCACTTTACATAATCTTAATAGTGAGCATCTTCTCTCCTGACTACACACGAAACAACTCTACTTTAGCACTTATAGAAATCTATCATGAAGTTTGTAAGCTCTCAACTATTACCAACCCACTTTTCAGTATACCGCGACTGAATTCATTAATGATTTTGTTTACTAACATCATCCAGCTGTTTCATCAATAAGGCCGGTAGTGTTTATTGCTATGCAACGTATACTATGGAACACTTCTGTGAACAAGTAATTTTGATTAGCTGCCCAACATATTTAGTGATGTTTTCAACTGAGACATGACTGATCTAAATGAGGTCATAATTCTCTGGAATTCGTTCATCATCTATTAGTGTATATACTACGATCTTTAAGACACTATGTCATCTGTTGATATTATTCACATCCGTAATTTGATGTGGATAAAGTGGGACTCAAATAGATAACTTTCAGTTGAGACGAGTACTTCAAACGTAAACTCTAAAACTTCAGGGAATCGAAACAGTAACCTATTAACAATGCTCGGTTTTAAACGATTTAGATTGAATATCCTCCTAACCTAAGAAAATGTATCAGTTGATAACCAGCTAATCAATCCACTGAGAAAACAGAAGGAAGTTGTGTAGATTTTTTTGTCTAATTATGCGGCACTTCGTAAGACTATCAGTTTCCTCTAAATTGAGCAAATCGACCTTAATAATTTAGGTGAATGATGTTGCTTGAGGTTTTGTACCTACCTGACAAAGAACTTTAGAATGACAAAGTTTCTACTTGAACCCATGTGAATCTGTGAAAATATATATCCGATATGTCGACAATGAACAATCTTAGTCATCAATGTCCACATCTCTAGTCTACATCAATAGGAAGATGATCCCAACGTATTACCACTATATATAAATGTATAATATCACTATATACAAACTCTCAGATGATACAGGAATCGCAAAAATTGCTTTTTCAAACTGTCGATCACTTTTAGTGGGACTATAGTGAAGTTAAACAGTGCACAGGATGACAGACTGAAACATTTGAGAAAAGTAATTTCTACTTTTTTTTGATACCCTGTAGTAGAACTAAACTTGAAGTAGTATCAATCCAACACAAAATATCAACATAAAAAGTTTTCTTGACTTGCGAAATGGTAAACTTTAAGGTGACATGAATCAATGCTAATCACTTATTTGCTAAAAATTAAAACATTTTTAGACTTGTTTTAAGGTTATGCAATTTTATAACCTTGATAGATCAAATATATGCCTGTTGAAGTGCTTAGTTAGCAGTCAGTCACAATGTAGAACTGCGTACATACATTCGTACATTAGCACAGAGAAATTGGATTGTCAACTCAAATCGCAAAGTGGTAGAGGTAGTAGAAGTATTAGCTGTAATCAAATAGATTAATGAATGAATATATCATTCGAGATGTATACCCCAGAGGGATCAGTTAAAAACAGAGAGAAAACGGTCACCAGGAATTCAGATTAGGATTTGAGAGAACACAAAGAATAGATGCACCTGTGCCATCGCAAACGGTTTTTAGTCATGTCACTCAAGATCTCTACCATCGATTACTACGATCTCGCGGACCTCAACCAGGTAGTCTACGTCTACCGACATGACTCAGTCCACTTGCCAGTGACTTCATTTACAATCAAGGTGACCAATAGGAAAAAAACATTTGAAGTGACACTGCTAGTCAGGACGACCAATAAGAAGCAACATTGAAGTACGTGACATTGATATCTAGGATGACGATAAAACTGACCAGTAGGAATTGACCAATAATTCTCTTAGGATATTGGATGAAAACAGACTGGTTTTCTCGAGTCTGCTCTTCACAAGCTCTAGTTAAGCGTCTAAGTATCATCGAGGTTAACAATTTAGACAATATATTGGTTGAATTGATTGCTTTGTGATTGTCACAAGAGGACTTTTATCCTTTTTTATGAATTGGGACAATCAGGGATTGAGATCAGTCAGATGGGATTAAGCCTAGTTCCAAAATCCTACCTAAGATCTCAGTCAATCTAACGCTTTTAGTTAGCATTTTAAATCGATGAACAACTGAGTATGAATATTTTTATTTGTTTCATTTAACGTAAAAAAATTTCCTTTCAAAGTTGTACTTATTAGAAATTCAAATGAAATACAAACGAAAGTAAGTTCTCACAATTTATTGAAACGAAGTCATACAGAAGTTGAAAAAGGCTTTTGAAAATACAAAAACAGACATTTAGCTGTATCTGGAGGAAACGTTTTTTCACAGGATATTATTTAACAGGTTAGAGATACAACATATTTTAGTCAGTTCAATAGTTGATCAATGCAGGATGATCTGGTAAATGTATGCGTACCATATTCTTAACCAAATTGAAATGTGGTGAATCTTTTGTTTTGATCAATTCAAATAGCAATGATTCTGTTGTCGTTAGTATTACACCAGCAGAAGTTAAACGCTACAATAGAGATAAACGGAAAAAATCATAATTTAAAAATTAATTTGGAAGGGATTTGTAGAGATTGGCTTGATTTGTAAGTTGTATTCGTCATACTGATAGCATTTAGAAGAAACAGTGGATGGCTATTTCACTATGGACATATCTAAACTCCTAATCGGTAGCCAAACAACCATGGATTATTATGATCATCACGCTATGATGCAAATTGATTGAGGTTGAAATCGTACTATAGGATACCAACTCAGTGGTTAGTAAAACGTTCACTGTGTGATTTGAAGGCCCTGCGTTTGATCCCTGTTTGAGTTGTAAAGATGCACTGCTGAAGAGTCGTATAGTAGAATGAAACAACTATTTAGCGCTTCGTAGTTTTCAATGGTACTCCAAATTACATCAATCTGTGACGAAAACAACTTATATTTCTAGTTTATTTGGACGAACGAATCACATAATGAAGTCCCGTACACCCACATGTATATACCTGTAATATAAACAACCGTAACCATATATCATATCATATTTCGTAATTCAGTAACGTTAATTAAACAAACTCAATGATTAACCAGGTCAGTATTTTCAATCTAAACCACGAATCCGGTCGAATATTAAGTTGAATTTTTCTTTGCAATTTAATCCTGCTTACTTTGGCTTGATACTAACATGATATAAGTTTAATAATCGGTATGAAATCAGTACCACTCCAGCATTAATGATGAGTTAATTAGCATAGATAAGAAACACGAATTATCCAAAAGAAAATAGTAATGATAAGTTATTATGGGATGTTGTCTACATTGTTAAATTTGAAGCTCCAGATTGTGCACCAACTTTAGTTAGACAACCGATGAAAATCAGGAAACAATGGACAGTTATGTTCTAGTACATGACACCTCACTAGTGTGGATTCGTGATCCCATCATTAATCGAACTCAGAGTTTCAAAGCATTATGCTGCACGCTTAAACTTCCGACCACTAAGATAGAAGATTAATAGACGAGATAACTTCGATAGATGATTCCCATAATTATAGTGAGAGGCCGAGACCACTGGGGTTCACCTATGTCGGTCACGAGACAGGCATCACTAATAAAAACGGATGATGGTTGCACAATATTGCGAAGTTAGGAATATAAACCACTGAACACCAACTCAATAGTCAGAGAGTTAAGTAACCGCCAGAAGGTTTGGAATCTAAGGGTTCAATCCTTGGTGGAGTCGTAAATGTGCAGTGTGAAAGGATTTCATATTAGGATGAAATATTTGTCCAATAGTTGCTGGTTTTAAATCTTTGTTTAGCCAAGATTATTCCGCGATATGAAACTTCAGTAGTAAGTTAATAAGGAAGTAATTTAAGGATTATTACGGTGAATAAGGTCAGTATATTATGTTTAAGTGTTTTTTATTTAATCAATAATCTAAACTGGATTTGTCTTAAAAACGACAGATCACAGAAGAACAAAAAGTCTTAACAAGAACGTGACTAGATAAGTAATAATAATTAGGTAAATTATAAAATAACTGAATGTTAGTTGGTGAGTAGAAAACAAGATAACAGAAGTACTATATTACGAGCAAATAACACTATTTGTTCTGTAATTATTGTGGACTAGAAAGGTAATTTCCCAATCAACGTTTGAATACAATACTTTAGAAAAACAAATTTGAATTATTAGTACTGAAATGAAGGTTGCATTTGCTTAAGTGATATAAACTTGATGTAGATTCGTTTGACTTTTTGTCTTATCTTCGATAGTATCTGCGAAAAATGTACTTTAGTCAATCTGTTAGAGGTTCTTAAGCAGTTAGTTTCGCTCGGTCCTTCATATAATGGAAGAATATGTTTTCTTGAGGGATTATATAGTGAAAACAGGGATAGTACTGAGGGTTTTGTTGATCTAAGAACATACCCATAGCTTCATAATTTTGGTTGCATATTAGTTCTTTGTTAGTAGTTTTTAAAATTTAACTTTCTTTTGAACATATTGATAAATAAAGCTTCAACCACGTGTTGAGTTAAGGAGAACCGCTCCTTGATGACTCGATAGCCAGCTGGTAAGCAATTGGTTCTAGGCTTGCAAACTTTTTGGAAGTATCTTCGCGAATTTTTCGCTTATTTTATTTAAAAGGCAAGAAAAATACGCACTACACGCTGGCATGTTATTTTTGTACCATACAATAACTCACTTGTAGAGCGATTCTCATATCAACAGCACTTCGAGAACTGCATGCGTCAGCCACTATGAGAACTTTAAAATTTTCTGACAATAAATGCAAAGCAGTTTGGAGAATACATATATGTGCCTAAAAGAGATAAGAAAAAGTCCAGTAGAGCGATGTACATATGTAAAATATCTATAGAACAGATCGCGAAAATTTTAAAATTACTATTTTTAACCAACTAAAAGTTTATTTCTTCACCTATGAGTTGCACACTTTTGTGAAACCTCTCAGTTTGTCTGAAGTGAATTGTGTTGTGAGATCTCAACTAGTAATCTAATGAATAAAAATCAAATAATTTATTCACTAACCCATAGATTGCGTGCGGTTCAGACCTATGACCACTAGTCAAAATTATGGTGTAATTTTATCTGTAAGATCCATTAGCATTACCGCAATAATTATTAAATCGGACTGATTTTGTAAATACTTGGATCTGAACAACACTACATCTATGAGGGCAAGTAATACTACCTGATTACCTTACGTCATACTAATACAAGTACACATTTAATCCAATATCATTAATAGCAATTCGTCAAACTAAAAGTAGCACTTACTTCAAGGCCAAATAAGACAATGTAACGATCACGAAACTCAGCTAGTTTCTCAGTAATTAATCCATTATACATAGAAAATGATGTTTTGTCAACCAGGCATAATGCATGTGATATATCGAGAGAATCTGACGTCTTACCTAGACCTTTAGAATACTAGTTGTGTGTGGAAAACAGAAGGAAATATATGATTGACAACAAAAAATTACCAAACCTGTTCAGTAACTAGTAGTGGAATTCCACATTCCTTGCCTAACTGCAACTATAATCAAATATATTACTGTATATAAAAACAAAAATTAACTTACAAGATGAGATATACGCATATGAACATTATCTGAATCGATAACAGTGTTTAATAAGCTTTTTTGTACATCACACATTAGGAATATTGTACAGTCGGGATCTAGTGTTAGCATAGATTTCGACATATTGAAAACTATATCACTCAGCAAGTAGTATGAAAAACCTTGTCAGGAAAAAATCAATTTAATTACAATACAACACAGGTGTAGAATGCTAGGTAAATGTTTACACTAATCAAAGAGTTTTCACTCACTCAGTATAAATATAAATGTCAGAAACCAGTCACTTGTAGACAGTGTAAAAATCTGACGTGAATATGCTATAGTTTAAACCGATACGTCTCACGTCAATAAACTGAGAAAGAAAGAAAATATTTGATTAAATTATCGAAGACAAGTGAAAATAATATCGGTTGAAGTAGCGATTAAATCTAGAGAAATATATTTATTTTATTTGTAGCTAGCAGTGGATCGACCTATTTAGGACTGGTCAGTTAGTGTTACACTTAAACTTGATGTTTACAATAAGAACTATCTCTTTAAAAGTCAATTCACTATTTACTCAGTCAATGATTTCAGATAGTCACTAACTTGGTCAATGGATAGTAAAAATGACAGTCTTTAGGATCACCGAAAGGATAAAAACCCTCATAAATAGTCAGCTGCGTAACTGATAACTATGCGGCCACTGAGAAGGATAAATGGTGTGATATTAAAGAAACGAACGGAAAAGCCTAAATAAGGTAACGATTGTTGGAAATAATTTTGAAGACAGTAGAAAAAATATAAATCAAAACAAGACTCGGTGGGATCGAATTAGATTGAAGAATGATAAAGATAGACACCTATGTATAACATTAAACATGAACAAAAAATAATACCTTTTATACAGTTGTCTTAGGGTATAATGTTCAAGCATACAAGCTGCTCAATACGTTCGGTGATATCCAGGCAGCCGGAAATGATATGCTGATATTCAGATCACATATAACTTTTCAAATGTCACGGCTGAGTGCACTACAGTAGATATGAACACAAACAGAGCAACTTTTAATTACCGCTCTTCCAATATCCAATATCTTTGTCACTAGCTGGTATACAACAATCGATTTCTTTGCATTCGATCCTTGTTTTACGGTACGGCTTCAGGCGTTCGGTAGTGTTCAATGAATGGAGGTCTAGCCACTCGACTGCCTGATTCCTGTCAGTTGGCAGACTTTTTGAGTTTTTATGTCCCGTGATTCGAATGAATACGTTTGTTTCAGGACAGTAGGAATTCTGGATACAAGCAGCTACCACACTACCATACCAGAGATCAGTTAGTTGAAATGTGGAGAAACATAAGGAGAAAATTCTAGTCCTCATGACTAAAAGATTTCAGAACCACGTAAATAATAGATAATGTAGTTTATCAATTGGCAGTGAAGATTGTTCGAGAGGACCGAGGTGGAAGCAAGCGAGAGGAGACAGAGTTGTATGCGAGATATATTAATTAGGTGATTTCGGGGGTGGTAATAATATCGACTAGCAAGTCTCAAGACATGAATCAGCAACAGCTTGTCCACGAGGAAGATGATAATCCATATGTGAGTGCGGTTTTATCAAGTTACTTCTTAAAGCTTTCCATTGAGGGGGCTGTTTTCACCTCGGCTGGGAGAGCATTCCAAGTTGCAACGACTCTTAACGAGAAAACGTGTGCATGGACCTGAATGTTCGCTGTTCGATGTGCAAGTTTCCGAGGGTTACCTAGAGAAGCGTGCTGTTTATGCTTCAGTAGGATTCTCTCGTTGAGATCGTATGGTGTGTTGTACGTCATAATCAGATCACTCTGATTCTCCTGTAACTCAAGGAGAATGATCCCAAATGCTGGAGTCTATCTTCTTAAGTCTTATCTTTCAACCCTATCACCTTCATCGTTGCTCGTCTCTGCACTCGATTCAACAAATTTATGTCTCCTTTAAGCAGAGAGCGTACGATGACGTTGTTAACATCGAGGTGTGGGTACGCATATGTCTTAGACGACGTCAAGAATAATTCTGGGGTGACGGCAGCAAATTTTTTTCGCGTAAAGTGAAGTGCATTTGCTTTTGCTTCGTCCCTTATATAATTCGACCTGTTGTGGAAACTTTCAGTGGTTGTTAAACCGAGATCGCTCTCTGAGGATACATTAGGGAGTGGACTTCCATTGAGGGTTTAAATCGTTTGCGTCGTGTGGGGCAGAATGTACATGACATGACATTTCGGCCGGTTTAGTTCTAAACCGTTTTTCACTTCCCATTCCTCAAGAGAGGCAAGGGCTTTTTGAGGCTCAATAGAATCCTCTTCACTTCTAATGGACCTGCAGACCTTTGCATCAATGACGATGAGCTAACTATGTCTAACGGGTCGTTAGTAAATATCAGGAAGAGAAGTGGACCTGAGATCTTCCCCTGTGAAACTCCCGGTGTTGAAACTCGTCTCTCACCCGCTATTTTACGTACGAATTATTCAGAAATGAAGTAGCAATTGCAAAGCCATGAAGCATATGCGAACCGAAAATGTTCACAGACGGTCATTTTCAACATTGAACATCTTTTACACGAGCTAGCATAAGTTAGTTGATTTCTTTACGCTGGATTCCATTTCTTTCGGTAAGGTTCCAGGTATTTGGTTGTGTCAAATGGATTTCAGGCTAGCCAGTTAGCTGCTCTGGTCCATGTGAATTGGCAGTTATTTATGATTTTGTATGTCCCTTGATTTGCGTGAGTGCATTTGTTTCAGGCAGTAGGGTTTCCAGATACCAGCATCCATCACGTTACCAGGCTATAGATCAGTCAGTTGCAATGTGTAGAACACTAAGAGAAAATTCTAATGCTAATGACTAGAAGATTTCAGAACTGAGTTAATAAAACAAATAATTAGGGTAAATAACTGATACTGAGGATTGTGCGGGGGAACAGATGCTTAATTTCAGTGAAAACTTTATGATCAAACCTCTGGAAGAAACCAGCGCAAATGAGTACCTCCTTTACCTGTTTGGGATTAACGATAAGGCTTATAATATTGTTGTCAAGTAAATAATGAAGACGTCACACAACTTGAGATTTAACAGCATAGCAGTGTTCAGTGGTATCTTCCGAAATAATGCTGGATTTAGTCTGTCACTAGGGATTGTACGAGGATAGACAACAGCTTTAGTATCCATTACCAAGAAGTCCAACAAGAGATGACGATTTAGGCTTATGATTAAAGAACATATGAGTAAATAAGATTTAATGTCGTAGTCCATAAACAGTATTTCTCATATACTACTACAAGGGTCCAACTAAAAGATGCAAAGACTGTGGTAGTCATTAGAAGTTTCATTAACCATATAAGGACTACGGATATCAAGTTCCGTGAAAGCATGAATGGGTCCTTGTATCACGCCTACTATGACTTGTGAACATGTAGACCTGCTTCAAACTGTGACACGCTTTTAAACCACGTAAAACAATTTTTTGTCTTATCCTAATATTCGCGTCACATCCCCAGTTAACAGAATAATATTCAACATTGCGGAACACATCACGGCAATACTGTTATTACTCTACAGTTGAAACACGTTTTGCTTAATCCAAAGAAGCTATATGCATATGTGGCGCTTTCATTATTTAGTTGGCAACAATAAGTAGTATTTACACCAACGTTAATCTTGAAGGAGTGGAAAATGCTTTTAGTCGTTCAGATTTCCATCAATTGCAAGCATTATATCGTAAACTAAGTCAACTTATACTTCATATGATAGAAAGTCTTCTATTTAAAATTTGTTAGGAAATACGATAGACGTGGATAAAAAACATCAACGAAAGTACGTAATAACAGTAAATATTTTCACGTCCGTTTACATAGTTCAATTTTAAGTGGACAGACAAACAGTTTTTTGTGGGGATGTTTAATATTTCTGCATGGTTACATACTGCTCCGGCAACAGACACCTAAAATGATGAAGTTTCAATACTTCATCAAATAATCTGCCACCCTTACCTAGTACTTGTTTTCTAAAAGCAGCATTGCTTACCCGGTGGTCCCAAAGTACACGAGCGATGCCTGGAAGACCCTTATGATCGAATAACAGTAACTTATTGGTACCTCTTCTTCTTTAGTGGACACGTTTCACAGCCAAAAAGTAGGACGGAGCAAACTGCTGCACGTTAGACTGGTCCTTTGGTTAGCCTACTCCATTAATGATATAAGTTGGCAAAGGTCAATCGAGCTTTCTGTATTCACGCTGAAATTTCGTCAAACACCAGGCCACCAGCACTGATAAAACTCCCCAGATAAGTGAAGCGGTCAATACGCTCCACTGCTTCACTCCCTATCTCTAGTTCAGGTGCTGATGCAACCCAGTCTTGAGGCAACATTTTGTGTTTCAATGGTGAGAATTACATCCCGCATCACATATATCGGTAGTCGGGCTTTCGTAACACATGTCCGAACCCCCTTAACTGATGAAGTTACCATACTTCATCTATTGATCTGCAATCCCTACCTAGGACCCGTTTCCTAACGACAGCGTTGCTTACTAAAATGTCCTAGGACATACAAGCAATGATTTGAAGACACTTAGATCGAATACCAGTAAATTACGGGTATTTTTGCTACTTGTGATCGCGTTTCACTTACATATATTAAAACGGAGCGAACCGCTGCGTAGTGGACTCGTCTTTTGGTTAGCAGATAGAAATCTCGCTAACGCCTTGAGTGACAGAAGTTGGCAAAGTTAATCGAGTCTTCTGTATCCGTGCTGAGATCTCATCATGCACCAGCACTTGTGATACTCCCAAGATAATTGAAGTAGTTGAATCACTCAATTATTATCAGTCTGGCAGAGGCCTCCGAAACCCACTGTTTCTCTCTAACCCTACCAGCCACTATTACTTGATCAGAGCGCTTAACATTTTGAAGGAGGTTGGAAGGCTTTATTTAAAAGTCATCATTTACCTCATCCGAACTAAGGTTGGTGGGAGTTACCAGATATATGGAACGTAAATCTTGACTGTTTTTTATGATGAAAATGTCAAGTCAAAAGAATGGCTGTACTAGGAACTGTACGCGCATTTCTGGCCAATAAATCTCGGTTGGGACTTCAGCATTGGCAAGCTCAGCTGCCACTTTAAGACATCACAAAAACGTTTAGAGGCCCGGAACAACTTGCATATCAGTTGACTAGAGACTGTCCTATCGAATCGAAAACATGTAGAATAAGGATGTCACGGATATTCAGGGTTAGAAAATAGTTTTGTTGGTGAAACCTTTTATGTTGAGACTGCTTAAAGCTAAGAAAAACCAGAAGTCAGGAATGAGGTGGATTGATGTCGATGTGTGACTGCACTAAGTTTGATAGTTGATGCAAGATGCGTAGCATAGCGTGCTCGGAAGTGATCTAGTACGGGTGCGTGACAGAGCGCCTTGGGTTAGGTTGTGTCAAGCAACACTATCAAGGCCCACATCCAAGTCGAAGATTTACATAGCTGTTTATTTTGAGGATTTATTTACCACTACATGACCCCGGATTGTGAACGCTTGATCGAAGCTGCGTTTATGAATGCGTTAAAGAGAAAGTTGGGTCAACTGAGAGAAAAACATTACTACGATTAGCGTAGACCACCCAGCACCATGTCCTTTCTTTACTGAGAATGGAACTTTTCCATCTATTGGACATTACCGAACGCCTGGAACCGTACCGAAAGAACCAGAATCGAGCGCGAAGAAATCAAACTGGTTTACACTAGCTCGTGAAAAAGATATTGGATATTGTTCTTTGGAAGGTGAGGGAAGCTTGACTGTTCAGGGTCATAGTCCCACACCGGTTCATCCCTTATTTAGATAAGATCCAGTTTGGTGAGTTTATATGTATATATACTCCTTGGTTCATGTACTCAGTTGTCCTTCATACGTTTTGGTCTAGGGAACATGTTTATCAAACTAAGGACACCACCATTAGTATCTTTTAATATGTAACATAAGGATGAATCTAAACTTATGAACAATTTCAGACCCCATAGATTGGCTCTATACCTATAAATATAAACTTAGTAAGTCATCGTTATATATTGCATCAGCATAAGAGTCGATCCGGAATTTTTATAAACAGGATTGGGGACTAAACTCATAAATTTTATGCTCTTCTGTACTTGTTCAAAGTCTTCTCATATTTAGTTTATATTGGACGAAAAAATTAGGAGTTTCATTCATATTTTCTCATGATACCTTGATACTGTTGTTTCATTAGTAATAATACCCAACGTGGATTTTTTTTTCAGAGATTATATTACTCCTGAGGTGATGCCGATTGCTCCGAACGCATATGGGGGAGTTTCCCAACCATCATGTTTAACTAGAGTCAAGTTTGGATTTTTAATGGGGTTTTGTGTCGGTGTGGCAAGTGGTGCTATATTTGGAGGATTCAGCTGTTTAAGGTGAGGTTTTCTTTGAAAACAATCTATACTGTTACTGGGTTTTTTGCTGGAATTTTCATAACTTGATCAGTACAACGACATTCCATACAGTGTTTGGCAATTAATCTCACATGTTTTGAGATATCGCTTATTAGTCATCGGAAGTCCTGGTGTTTTCCTAGAGAAAATTATTTTCGATCATTACGGTTTACAATCTTCAATTACTTCTATTTTCAGTTTTATGATCTTTGTTTTATGACCAAATATACATTCTTTGAAGTTGTTGCTATCCGCTACTGATGCGATTAGTCTTGGCTGAAAAATAGGTTAATTGGTCAAATGTCTAGATATTAACTGCATTGACATGTTTATCATACCTATAAAATTATCTACCAAAGCCACCTAGAATACCTATCCCATTCCAGAAAATTAGTGGTCGTGTGAATTAAACTCGCATTCCAAACTATGTGCTACTTTAGCTAAATTCTCATACACGCAACTGATGAGTTACAGATGGAACATATTAAAATGGCTAGCTAAGAAATCTATAGGCAGCCAAACTACTTTTAAAAAAATTTGAAACCTTAGTATACTTTTAGGAAACCTAACAGGATTGCTGAGTAAGACGTCTCATGGAAAAAACAACCAGTTTTAACGTGTTCTGTAAAGATGACCAGTGAGCTTTGATATTTATTTTAAGGTACTGTGTCATGTCAGAATAGTTACGACTTCCAATTGTTTCAGACTGCAAGTAAATCAGTATGACTTATATGTTGTGTGGGATGATAGTTACCATAATCATTTAACACCTAATTGATGCTTGTAAACAAAAAGTTTAGGAAAACTAGACTGATATCATATCTGAATGTGGAAATGTTGATCATGTCTCCACGTTTCGATAGGTTTGAGAAGATTGTCATATCTACTGAGATGCATTCATAATGGTATGTTTATTTTTTCGTTTGCATTCTTTATTATTCTCTTCTAATGCTACTTGTTAGTTTATTATGACCGTGCAATTATATTTATCAGTTTGAACCGGTACACTTACCCAGGTCCTAGATTTGACAATGATTGTTGAAAATAATTTTGAACATCTGTTCAAGGTTCTGTTGTTGAAATCTATCAGAAATCCTTGTTGACAACATATATTCTTAAGCTTTTCGCTTATGTTTTTGCAGATACGGGTTACGGGGACGTGAATTGGTTCAAACAGTTGGCAAAGGCATGCTTCAAGGTGGAGGTACATTCGGCATGTTTATGGCTATAGGAACTGCTATCCGTTGTTAATACTTCCATCACTAATGTTGCACATGTCAATCCAATGTTTGCCTTTTCCGATATGTTTTATTACTCATTTTATTTACAGAAATGACATATGTGCTCACTTTCTTTGCTTTGTTAATGAAGAATAAACAATCTTTAAATTTAGGAATCAGTATATAGCACCTACTTATCTTTACTAGTTTGTAAATTTGACTAGTATTTTATGTATAACCCTGTTTATTGGATGTAAAATATTGGTGGGTTTTTCCAATAATTCATGTACATATATTATAAATACATTACACTTTAGTGAATAACGTATCGTTTGTTTTTAATAAATCCATTCGGCGATAATATTTACACAATTCTGTTATGGTCTGCATATTGGTTCTGGAAACTTACTTTTTAACTCAACTAAATGGGGTGGAAAAATATGCTAAAATATTACAGTTAAACAACATTATCTACGTGTTTCGTACTCTTCAGTTTATACAATGACTAATCAGTCAGTCAGTCGTTGGATCGGCTTCGTGTGTCGTCATGTCAAAAGGTGTTTTTCCTTATGCTTAACGTTAGTATCTGCTAAAAACTGGCGATTATCTGAGCACAGTTGCAGCAGATGGTCGCCATTATCTATTCGATCAGTCACGACACTATAGATCCACTTAGGTGTCTTTCCTTTTCACCTAGTTTACTTACCTGAGCATTAAAGTCACTAGCCACTATTAGGACATCAAATTGCTCAACTTTTGGACGAGGCTTGCAAAGCTGTTTATAAGATTCATCTTTTACCTGACCTGAGCTGTAGTCAGTAGGAGTGTGGGCGCAGACAACGAGGAGGCAACGGCGTGTCCCTATCTTCTCGAGTTCTTATATTCCCGTTTGGTCGAATAGCGCACAAGCGACTATCTACTGGAATCCAGTCTAAGAGAGCTAGTTCTGCCCTAGGACTCAGTCCTATACCTACACCAGCGAGGCCCGGTAAGCAGCGACAGGAACTCCAGATACAAAGATCGTAAACTGGGTTGGTTCTGTATCTGGACAAGATGAAATCAAATTAATAATCGTACTCAGATCCTGTATGTGCATTTTGGAGTCGCAGTATACATCGATGGCACGGGATTCCAGAGTCCTAGCTAAAGAAGCCTGTTGGTCTATTTGACTCAAGCTTCGAACATTGAGAGCTCCAACATGTAGTTTAGAACTGAGTTTTAGGAGACCAGGAGTAACGTTTTATGAACTCGAATCGTTTGGATTAGTGGCGTGAAGTGATAAAGGAATGTGAAAAGGGTTAGTTGTGGAGATATTAGAGAGTTATTAAGAGGTGAGGAAGGGATTCGATTATGATAAAGTTGATCACGTGTCCTGTTATGGGTATGATTAAGGAAAAGCCTTAATGCTGTCACACGTCTCGACAGCCAGAAACACGACTTCGCCCTAAGATCTTGATTTACTGCTTTTAGTCTTATTGTCCTCCAATCGACCTGTCTGGCACGGTGGGACCTAAATGAACATGTTCCTGCTAATATAGCTTGGTTGAGCCATCACGACAGGTGAGTCCGATCACCACGTCAAGATAGCAGCTACGGTCGGGATAAAATGGCTGACACAATATCTCCTAGCGTTCACCTTTGTAAGAATTAAGCAGTAATGAATGAGATGATGTTGCTCTTATTTCATGTTGCTTTGATGTAGACCACGGAGTAACTATGTCCATTCTGCACTTTAGTCTGCAGATCTTGGTCAGGTAATCGATACAGGTGTATCACATTTGCCTAAAACTACGTGTATCTAGTTTGAATGTTATTTTCTTGGTGATTTTATCTCATATAAAAATGATGTAAAGGCTTTTATTGTGATCCGTTGGTCTGATTTAATGACTAAATATTGAGTACAGGGGTTAAGATGGCTCGAACTCATTAAAAAATGAACGACTAAAGGATATCGCACTTATAGGTCATCCAGTTCAATAGAATTAATGCCTACGAAGTTTAACTCCTACCTTGTCACATCGCTTACTGGCGAGTGCCGTGTGGCATGAGGGCGAAGTTCAGACTTTCCTGCCGACTTTATCCAACCTTCTAACGCTTTTTATAATAATAATATAGTTAACTTATTGATCTTCATCTTTTAGTTACTTGGCTACTCATTTGTGATGATGAGCTTGTGACTTAACGTAATCTAATGATTGAAGAATTGCATCCCTATTTTGAAAAAAACTGAAAATATTGTAAAAACTAGAATAATTCAATTTACTTAAAATAACAGGAGATATAATCCATATGTTCGTAAGCAGAAAATCTGTTACCTTCGAGAATTTAATTTTTATTATCCATGATAGGAGACTTTCCTGCGGAATGACTGAAAGTGGGACTGCTTTGGTGTAGATATCTTTATTCCTTATCTTCCTCTTCAACATATTAACGTTATTTTGTGTCCTATTCCACGACTTTGTCCGTTTCTTTTTGAAGTATATTTCTCGTAGTTTGGCTGTTACTACAGCTAATGACGACGTTGTGATAACATTTTCTTAGCTTCTTATTAATTCCTGATTTTGCTACGTTGATGTTTAGGGATTACTTTATATATCAGCGAGAAATTGTTTGCTATTTACATACAGTAACGTAATTAGATGATATCACAATATCGTGTGACATATAAGATGGTTGACACCAATCTCCATTAGTTGAGATAGATACGGTGTAATTATCCACCACTTAATTAATATATTTGTTCTTGTATTGCTAGCTATTCATTTACCGCTAGGTCTTTCTCTCCTTAATAACAGCCTCTATCAATTCGGTACTGAAAGGCGCACTAGTTTAAAAACTGAGAAGATTTGTTCGTTCAAAGTTGCGGAGATTAATGGGATTAGATATGATGCATACATACTTCTACCTAAAAATCAACAATCAGCTGTATGAAACGTAGATTCTGACACATATGGACACCGATTTAAACTGATACAAAATATCAGCACAGAGAAATGAAGTCATCAATAAAAATATCAGTATTTGGAATAGAAACAGTATCAGTCGTATATCAAAGATTAGGCATAAAAATCGGGATTAAAGAATGATTTTAGAGTCAAAGAGTATTTGTGTCGGCATCATCGTCTCCATCCATTGGCTTCGACCTCAGCCTGGTAATCAGCATTTACCAGCACAGCTTAGACAGTCGGTGACTTCATGAATTGTTACCACGTCTTAGTCAGGCCGCTCCTAGCTTCCTTCCAACATACTCCTACACCAAGAAGACATTGTGTTTTAAGGTAAGTAGTAATTTGGCATATACTACATCATATATCCCATAAACTAAGTCATTAAACCATACACAAATCGCTAATTATCATCAACAGAGTCATGAAATTGTAATGTTTTTATTTGAAAATAACTAAGATGATGGACATTCAGCACACATAAATAGCTCATTTTTATTGAATTCAACCTGAAAGATTACAATTTCACATACGCACATACATATGAAAAGTAAAATGTATCAGAATCATATGATCGTAAATAAAGATAATAATAAGTAAGTAAGTAAGTAAGTATGGAATGCTTTTAATAGATAAAGATAAGTAAGATAAATATTATGCTTTGTTTTTGTTTTTTTATTTAAATTTTTCTATCTGATCCTTTTTTGCATTAACAAACTATAAATGGTTTTGGTCGAACAACCAATGAACGCATACGTAGTCCACCATCAGCGCCACAACTTAAAAATCGACAAGCTGTTGATGCAGCAGTCAATGAACATTTCTGATCATGAGAAGAATGTGTAGTAGGCATGCAGTTACTTAGATTCGTGGAAGGATCATTTTTAATAGAATTATTGTTGTTATTGAAATGAAGTAATGCTGCTCCAGTGACCGCCGGCAACAGACGAATATCTGATATGCCTGGATTAGTAGCGGCAATGATAGCTGCTGACTGATTGCCTCTGAACAGAGCAGCGGCTGCAACAGCTGCTGCACCACGACTTGGATGTACATCACAACAAAAACTAGTTAACAATTCTTGTTCTGATAATCTCCATATCTGAAAGAATAAATATAAAAATAAAAACCTTAGTATATTTTATTAATAATTTAATACAGAGCTCTATGGTATGTACCGTCTCTAAATGTGACAATGATACAGGCCCGAACGTCACAGCAAGGTATCAGTTCTCTCAAGATTGCAGATATCTTTGACCATGTAGGGAGCAGTGCAAAATCTAAGTCAGGTAACGTTTCTTGTCGATTATATCCCATCATTGGATACTGAATTTGGTATATTTGAAGTCTATAAGTGTATGTCAGTCAGTCAGTCAGTCAGATGCAACGTAGAACTTCGTACGTAAGTACATCAGTTTATGTTGCCATACCTTATCAGCACAGAGATATTATTGTCAATTCAAATCCAATAGTAGCAGAGGTAGTAAGGGTATTAGAAGTAATCAGAGAGGTTAGGATTAGAAGACATTATTCAAGAAATATGATTCAGAGAGAAAAGTTTAGAAAGTCAAAACTAGAGGTGTTGAAGAATCCAGAAGATTAGGATTTGAGAGAACACAAAGAATAAATGCACCGGCGCCATTGCGAACCATTTTGAGCCATGTCATTCAGGGTATCTAACCATCGATTATTATCATCTCACGGACCCCAACCAGGTAGTCGACAATTACCGACATGGCCCAGTCCACTCGTCAATGACTTCATGGATTTCTGTCATGTTTTGGTTTGGCCGCCCCTAACTTTCTTCCAACCTATTCCTACACAACAAAACAAAGCTCGTCGAGGCAGTCGGTGGTTGGGCATACGCAGCACATGTCCCAACCACCTCAACTGATAAAGTTTCATTACTTCATCTGTTGATCTGGCATTCTTACCTAGCACCCGTTTCCTAATAACAGCGTTGCTCACTCGGGTGTCCCAGGATATACGAGCAATGTTTCGAAGGCACCTATGATCGAAAACCGATAACCGACGAATATCTTCCACTCTCATTGGCCATGTTTCACAGCCATAAAGTAAGACGGAGCGAACCACTGCAAAGTACACTCGTCCTTTAGTCAGCAAACGGATATCTCGCCTTCGCCATAAGTGACGCAGGTTGGCAAAAGCCAATCGAGCCTTCTGTATCCGTGCTGAGATTTCGTCAGTCACCAGGCCATCAGCACTGATGAGACTCCCAAGATAAGTGAAGCGGTCTACACGCTTGACTATTTCACTCCCTATCACTAGTTCAGGTGCCGATGCAATCCATTTTGAAGCAACATTTTGAATTTCGATGGTGAGAACCGCATCCCGAACATGCTTGCATTATTGCATTGTATGATTCCACGTAGAAACGATTAGAGTATTAAATTCTGCATACTATATTTCTCTATATAGAGTAATTAAACTTATAGTTTTATATTATTACTTGATCAAATTCACACAATAAGCGATAATAGTATTATAATATTAACAAACAATTCATTAAACACATACTTTAACTATTCCATCTGCTCCACCAGTAACCAAACAATCAGTTGCCAAATCAATACACAATGTTCTTATCGATGTGTCATGAGCGGAAAATTTATGCAGCACTTTTGGATTTCTCATATCCACCGTACATATATCACCATTTTTGGTACCGACAATGACAGTTCTATCATTACTAGTCAAAATCCATTTTGATTTTGTTCCAGTAGTTAATGAATTGATAATATTGTTATTAGAATAAATATTTGTATTGGATGGCCAACTGTTGATATTTTTCAATGATCCACAATAAGCGATTGATGTACATGGAGCGTCCAATTCTGGGTCAAGAACACCTTGATGTATGTAAGAAGTGAAAGGAAAAATATTTAATGTGATTATCTAATTGACCATTTAGATAATTACAGAGAATCATTGAATGTAAGAGAGTTGTTCTGTTTTAGTTTTCTAATATAGTAATCATAAACATCGAAAATCACATGGAATCTAACGGATTCAGGAGTTTCAGGTTTTAGGGAAGCAATATGGCATAAAGATGACTCAATACGATGGGTTATGACTTTAAAACGTATTATTTTTTGCAGGATAACAATTTATACGTCATAAGACGATTTGTTGTGGCTTAAGGACGTTGGTCGATATTGCCATGCTATAATAGCCAACAGAACCGGTGATCTGCTTGACGTATTTACACACGGACTAATGGACAACAGTTTAGACCTAAACGGTTACTAGTTCTCGTGGTCCGATCTAACCCAGTAGCCAATCAGAAGAGGTAGATAGAAAAAAGATTAGTTCTTTGTTGTACCCAATTCAACTCGTGGCTAAAAACACATACAACAATATACTTGCGATGACTGATCACATAACACACCAAGTAAGAAATTAAACTTTAGACACAATCATATCATAAGCAGTATAGGACAGAGCAAATAGTCAATAATGAACTAGTAATAACTAAAGGATAATAAAACATATAGTGACAATTAATAAGTTCACTGAAAGCATACAATAAAGAAATTATGCAGAAATGCAACAAAAAAATTATCTACTAACTATACTCTGTTAGGATATTCATCCAATGTCCTAATTCTATATTGGTTAGTTCTTATTGGTTGTCCTAACTGTCAATGTCACATACTTCAATGTTGTTTCCTAATCGACCTAACTGTATAAATACGCATTATCTGTGACGTTTTACAACCCGGACCCGGGTCCCTAGTCGGAGATCCTGATTCTCTTCTGCACTCGGACGTCGTACTTTCTGGGTGTTTGTAGAATACATGTTCTACTTCATATCAAGTCTTCTTCTTTTACTCAACGGGAGTTTGGGACAATCGGATTAGAGTGGCATGTCGTGTCGCCGGATCCTCGCTCTCGTTTTCCGACTAAGGTAAATTCGTAATAGTTCAAGCATGTCATATACAATAAAAAACAAAACACATATTGATAATTTAAAAAAACGTAGTTCAGAAAGTTTCAAATTTTTCAAAATTTGTCATATTAAAAACACATTTTTGAAACCATGAATCGATCAGTGTTAGACTACCATTAGAAACCTGGAATCATCGTTAGATGCCGGCCCAGTGGTCCGATGATTAGGCGTTCGCGCACAATACCGAAGGTCCTGGGTTCTAATCCTGCGGGGTGCGGGAGTCGTGGATGCGCACTGCTGAGGAGTCCCATATCAGGACGAAACGGCCGTCCAGTGCTTCCAGGTTTCGAACGGTGGTCTGAGATCGATCGATTCATGGTTTCAAAAATGTCTAACTTAACAATCTTCACAACCCTGTAATGCATATTACAAACAGCAATTAATGCATTTATTTATACTGGTTGTTTGAATCTTCCTATTAATATTTAAGACAGCAATCGATCAGTCCTGGTGATGCCACTGCCAGCCATCATCCATCTCTGTGTTGACAACAATAAATATTGTTGCAAAATTAAACTTTTTCCTAGTTTAATTAACAAATAAGTGACGAAAGAAGCGCTTATATGTCAAATATAACTTATTTTCCACGTACAACTGTGTGTGTGCGTACTCATCATTTGAAGTATATTGTTTATGAAAAGATTACAGTGATATCATTAGTTTTCCTTTCTTAGTAAAGTAATTATTCACAGCGAATTCGTGTTTTAGGACTTATTGTTTAAGTGTGAAATACTCTCTAGTCAATAAACACTCACTTCAAAACTAAATGAAAACTTGATTGAAATACTGAGAATGCGAATAGTGAATTACGTTGATTTACTTGTTTAGTAGGAATATCAAACCATGGTGAATTACATTCATTCTAACCTTGATATCATGATTATCAAGTTTTGATGTGAACACAATTTCACTTATCAATTTTAGCTCACATTGTAAAAACTAATTTTTTGTTCACTACGTCGACATCGTCATGGTAGTGAAATATACTTTTTAGTTGACATTATGTAGGGGTTCATTAACACGTACTCATAAATCTAAAATCGTTGAAGTAGTAAAGATACTTCTTGATCAAATTAATTTTTGAAATGAATAAAATTTGTCAAGAAAATAAACGTATTCCTGCTTTCTTGTCTCAGTTTATTGGTTTATACCAAAGTAAGTGATCGGTATTTGTTGAGAAATTCTACAATACGCATACTGTTTGCAATGGCGCCGGTGCATTTATTCTCTGTGTTCTCTCAAATCCTAATCTTCTGGATTCTTCAACACCTCTAGTTTTAACTTTCTAAACTTTTCTCTCTGAATCACACTTCTTGAATAATATCTTCTAATCCTAACCCCTCCGATTATTTCTAATACCTTTACTACCTCTTCTACTATTGGATTTGAATTGACAATTGCGTCTCTGTGCTAATGTGATATGGCAACCTGAACTGATGTACTTACGTGCGAAGTTCTACGTTGCATCTGACTGACTGACTGACGCATACTGCTATTGTCCGTGTCTCTTTGTGCTTGCTTTATTCATAATATATGGGTATTGAATAGCTCTATCTCTCTAACTAGATGTCTAGTTGTGATGATAAGTCTCGTCCTAGTTTAAAATATAGGATAATCCCCTCATCTATATAGCAATGACTAATGATATGCACTTAACAAAGGCAAATATAAAAATATTCTCATTTCTAGTAGTGGATTAAGGGCAACAAATATACTACTTACGAATAACACCACATCGATTCGGTGGTAATAAGGTATCCCATAATGTTAAATGTGATGCATCGTGATCTGTGCTAATATTTCCACTGGAATAACTGAAACCTCCACCACCACCACCCCCACCGCTGCTACTACTACTACCACCTATGATATTGGCAGAAGTGTAGTGTGTTGGCCCGCTACCATAATTAACACCAGCAGCACCACCACTCATACCTGCGCCACCGACATCTACTCCTCCTCCTCCTCCTCCACTGACAATGTGTGATGTTGTTGTTGTAGTTGTCATTCCACCATTGCCAACTGTAGCGATTAAACTACTACATCCAAGAAAACAAAAATTTGCCAATCCTTTTGCATGACAACGACAACGCTATAATACAAGAATAAGAGGTGGTATGACTGATAAAGTTATGCTGCATAGGTTAATGGAATATACATATATATATATATATATATATATATATATATATATATATATATATATATATACATATAAAGCAGTGTAGTGTGAATAAACATAACATTGATGACTTGCTACTTACTCACTGATCAATCACTTGTAAAAATATCACAGTCCATGAGAAATCACTTACTAACCTGATAGCAACGCGGTGGCAATGTCTCCGACACTACGATGTGCTAGGTGATATAGGTTAGAATTCATTTGAAAGCATTAGTTCCCTTAAGATTTTAGGCATTCTTAATTGTCATGAGTGCCAACTAGCATGAAACTCAAATTAGGCAAGATATCCTGGCGACCTGCTCCAGTCACTTATAATCTCAACATAGTGCACGCAATGTTGAATTACTTAGATTAAAGGTCATATTGCAAGTTGATCGATAGAATTCGATTAGAAGCACTAAGTAGGACTAAACATACAAGACAATGGTCACTTACTACTCAATGATCAATCAGTTGTAAAGGGTAATGTAAAAAATTACGTACGCTTGTAACGCAAGGTATGAAAGTTTAAATTCCATATTAAACTTTTGACAGTGGTCAAAAGTGAAATTCAGGACCGGTATTTTGTCACCTGATGATGAACTCTCAGATACCAAATCGTTGATGTGGTGGACTATTTTGTAGCTAACATCTCAAATATTTCTTCTGTCTTATCCGTTGAACTACTCAGTTAAAGGAAGCCATGATCTTATTTAACGAATGTGTTATTCTAATATGATAAGGCATAAAGATTTGTATTTTCCCGTTGTTGATATTCAAAACAACGTCTCAACAGTTTCTATTGGCATACAGTCAATCAATTGGCATACAGAAAGGGAATTTGTCGACTGGATACTGTGAGGACAATAAACAGACAGTTATACGCATTCACTAAAGTAGGATGCTTTCTTAGTTATCAAAAATTCAAGATATCTATTACAGTTGTTCTTTGTGAAAAGAACAGAGGAACATAATTTTATTACGTAGTGTATTAAAAAATATACACTTCACCTTAATAAAATTTAAAAAGATTAATTATGGTAATCGTTAGACAAGCAAGTTGAAACCAGCATATGAAATCAATTCATGAAATGATTGATTGTATTTTAGTCTGAGTCATCATAGTCGACGGTAAAACTATGTTATTGAAAGTTGGTTGAAGATAGAAGTCAAGCGATCTCAGCTTAGAATTGATCACAATTGGGGGAGGAAACACATGCATTCACTCTATAGGATCTTGAGTTTCAGTATAGTTTTCTTCACAAACATTGTCTCAAACTACATTCCTACTGTCTATGTTTATTCATTAATATTTATTACACGTCTATTACTATTATTTTACTTGATTTTAATTTACTTTATATTACTTCTTTCTAGTTATTCACCTCATTGAATTCCATCTCATCGTGATGAGGATATCACAGATTGTAATTTAAACTCAGTAATATTTATGTCCGGTTCTATGTTGATAATAATAATAATAATAATAATAATAATAATTGTAACTGATTGATTAATCATTAAATATAAGTAATTATTCTCAATAAGAATATATTAATCAATGAGAAAAGGAAGAAAAACAAAACAAAATACACACCAATAAGTAAGTATATATCAAGGTGTATTATACTATAATAAACTACTTACAAAATATGGTAATTTGCCTGGCATAGTTGAATATAAATTCCATAAACCGAAATTTCCTTCAGAATCACCACAACCAAACTTTAATTGCATAAAAAAAATGTCCAAAGTAAGGAGGACATGGTGATAATTAGGGAAGAAAAAAAGAAAAAGAGGAGGAAAGAATTGAAACAACTAACAAATAACTAACAAACTGTTCAATTAATTAAAGTTTGTGTGTGTAATTTTATATGCATACACTCATTCATTCGCTTAATTGGTAAAATACATATAAAAGATATTAAAGCGATAATGATGCTCGTCGATACTGCTTCAACATGATTCAGTAAAATTAATGAATTAACTAATGATTATAATGTCCAGTAATCATGTTTAATTCACAGTCGAGTTTATTTATAACTTTCGACAGATTCATATTAATAAAGTTGAAATTACAAATTGGTCTTAGTTAGATTATCATTGAAAACTTGGAAGAGTTGAACAACCGTTTGGTGATATGATGCGGCTTATTCTCAGTAAGAATCCAAGATCCTGTAAGCGGAAATCAAATTCACTACCTCCAGTCTCATGAGCGAACGCTCGACCTATTGACCAGTGGGGCCGGCATCCATTAGTTTAGTGTATAAGTTTAGCTTAAATCAATTCTTGATATTGCCCAACCTTCATCTGTTGACTTCGGTGGATAATTGTCTCACACACGACACAGATTGAGCTCTATTAGTAACGGCTTCTTACGAGAACTCCAGCAGTAGTTACGACTCGAAATTATTCACTAGCGAGTAAATGATAGTTATTGGTACAGGGGACTTATGAAGATTTCACAATTGAAGTCATGAGTAATATTAGTTCAATTTTAAAGAATGCAATAACGTAATTTCTTATAGAAGGACATTTAGTTTTTCACGAAAAACCACTTTTTACGAAAAATCTACATTAAAGTTGTAATTATGAGCATATTACTATTGGTCTACGTCAAAATGAACTCCTGAAGTTTGAATAGGAAGTAATAATCAGTGGATATTAAAACAGATACTTAACGATTCGATGGTTAGTCATAAGATTTTGGGTTAGATCTCTGGCGCTACTCAGGAGTCTCACACAAAAACGAAACATTGATTAGTGATCCTTGGTTTTAAAAGGTTCCATAACTGGTTGAATCCCATATCATCCCATATCGTCGAACCCTAATCTCTCCGATTACTGCTAATACTTCTACTACCTCTATTACTGTAAGATTTGAAGTGACAATTGCGTCTTTGTGCAAATGTGGTATGGCAACCTGAACTGGTGTACGTACGCACAAAGTTCTGCGTTGTAACTGACTGATATCGAATACCACCTATGAGTACGTATTTGCATGACTAAATCCTTTGTCATAGTTAGTACACAGCTCAATCCTGAGAATGTGTCATCAACTTTCATCATATACTGCTACAAGAATCATTTTTCAGACAAATCCAAAAATGTAAAAGAACTATATCAAAGAAGGTTCAAATAAAAAATGTGTGCACAGCCGATGTCATGATTAATTTACTCAAACTTGATTTTAACAGACGAAAGGGTTATGTTCTTTTAACTGATTGGTCACTTGATACTGACTAATGTCATTTATTGCAAGTCGTTCTTAGTGCTATTGATTGGACACTATAGACCAAATTGCAATGCGGCCACTGATCTAAATGACTAGACAAGGTATGCAATATTTTAAGTGGTGGTTAGTTCAAGATTTTCTGTTGACTACCTCCACCTTATGTCACAATATAGTGTACATGTGATGTCGAGTCACTTAGACCACTAACCACACTGTAACTTGATCGATAGTGTCCAATGAGCAGTACTAAGGACTTGAACTACATGACACTAGTCAACACCCAGTTATTAATCAATTGAAAATAAACCAAAGTCCTACAGGTCAGTCACAACTCAAATAGTTGACGTCTCCAACTATAGAGTTGGGTGACAGGGCAACAAATATGCGAGGAAGCATCATTTCCCTCAAGATTATAGGTATACCTTGTTGATAAGTGCCTTCAGCCATCACCTTACAGCGTTACGTACTCATCCTTTATTTTGCCATGGTCTTTAAAAAGTGTCAGTGTTGAGACTATTACAGATCTATTTTTTAATCGACTTACAAATTTGTTAAGTAACAAACTATACAGAGAAAAAGAAACAACTTATATATATATATATATATATATATATATATATATATATATATATATATATATATATATAAAGAGAAAAGTATCTATAACACATTATAATGTCATTAACAATGCTTACACGATATCCACTATCATCAAACTGTAATGCTGTAACTCGTGCACCTCTAGAACCAGCTGGAAATTGACCTGACACACCAGCATCTGTTAACATGTAAGTATTAGTAAATCCAGCTACAACTGGTACTGGAGTTGACCATTCGAACATATGCACTGAACCGGTACCTGTTCCACATAGATCTGAAATTTTTAAAGAATATTGTAGAATTTCTGAAAGCATGGATTTTATATCAATAAATATATATATCGAAATGGACTCTATATTCCAACCTATGTAGATAATGTGAGGCAATCATGTGGCTAGGGGTCGACAGGACACTATAATTAACAATAAGTATACCAAATCAATGAACATTATCTCCATTCATTTTATATATGTTTTGGAGTTGGAGACTGATTCACCACGTTTGTGTGTCGATATCAAACTTCCATAGATAAAATACTCATTGAGGAAGCTGATAACTAACAGTTAACGACTTCATGCATTGATCGTGTATCTTAGATTGTTCACTTTTACCTTCCTTCCAACCAACTCTTACAGCGGACAACAACATGCATCGAGTTAGGTGGTGGTTGCAGATACACAAAACATTGTAAAATTTACTGTAAGTATTGAAAAGTTAATGTGACCTAGAGAGAGGCGTGAGCAAGAAAATTTCTAAGCTGACACCTAATGAGGTGGTAGTGGGCATAAACAACATGGATATTACGAAGAGGTTCACAAAATTTGCAATTTCGACTTTGTTTTGTGAAGACCATTATTATCACGGGCGGACTTTCGTATACAGTGTGGTAAGCCTCTTATTTTAACTTATAATTGTTGTGAGGCGTAGTGTCTGAGAGCTGATGATGACAGGCACTCCTTCTGGACACAAGTTCAGGCACTCAAGAAAAAGGGCAAAGAGTGACGGAAGAAAGCGGATTTCGTTTAGACTGATTCACATGTATATGCACTCATTTATACCATGACCAAACAGCCGTTCAGTGCTTCGTGATCTCAATATGTTGAATATAATTAGTTCTCTCCATGTTCTCTTAGTGTTACTCTGCATTGTTTTGAGTTCGAATTCAATAAGTGAGGTATGCAAAATTTTATTTATAATAATACATAACTGATTGTAGATTTGTGCTCTTAGCATTCGGCTGATAGATGATCAGTAGCCTTAAAAATATGCTCGATTCACTTGATACCACAGATTTTGTTATTCTTGTTCTATATGAACTTACTTATCAAACAATCCGAATAAAACATGAAAAAAAGCTATTTCATTTTAATCTTTTTCATCGCAATAGTAATGAAATAATGATGCTGACCCAGTGGTTTTACTATGGTTAAGCGTTAACCACAAGACCGAGAAAAGTACAGTTATACCCTCTAAAGAGCTCATAGGTATATATTTATTACCGATGAGTTACCGACAAGCACAAATGATACCTCAAACTGAGACCACTCTGTGATGAATATAATCGATAAATAATAATAAGAATAATAATAACGACAACTCCGCCTGGAGCCTTTCTAGGTTCACTGTCAATCTCAAGCCCGGATTAAAGGAGGAGGGTTGGGCATAGGGGGTTAGTGACCTCAACCCGTAGAAATCCAACTCGTTAAAAAAACGCTAACCAGAAAATAATAATTATAAATAAATAATAAAATAGTAAACTGTGACCATTTAGTACATAATTCAACTTACAATATGGCAATGTTGGATGTGAAGTTAAACTATACACAGCAGGCAGAGTTCGTTTCAATATCTGCGTCAATAAACCAAACAGAAGAATCACACTCAATAATAATAATAATAATAATAATAATAATAATAGTAATAATAATAATAATATGGTATTACGGAACAGAGGAAATGACAACAGTATTACTATACAAAGCTAAATCAACATCAAGTTAAACAACTAACACATGAAATTGAATCAGTGTGTTTTCGTTTCACACTAAACTAAGAACAGTTTTTTCTACAAAAAATATTTTTCAACTCAACAGACATGAACAACATTGATGAGGAAGAAAAACTATATATATATGACAGTAATTATCTCATACAGCGTAACAAAACACAATTGAAACTCAATTCACTAACACTTACTAGTAAACAAATAAAAATCAGTTTTGTACATGCATATGAAGGATAAACAAACACATTAAGTGTTACACTGATAGGTTTAATTAACAAATTAATAAAATGAATATGAGAGATAATACCGTGCTAGTTAAACGTCTGCTACGTTCCAATGCATGTTTAGATAGATTGACCAAATGCCCATGTAGGGGATGTAGATTTATACTACGAAACTATACACACACATATATACATGATGTATAAATACAGAATATTATAATATTTGAATAAATAACGAAGATAGATTGCATAATAAAGAACAATATCTATATTTTGCATTATTACTATTATGGAGATTGGTGTTTTACATTGAAATCATGAATGAATCATTGTTAGACCACCATTAGAACGGCCATTTCATCTTAGTACGGGACTTATCAGCAGTGCGCATACACGACTCCTGATACTCGCAGGATTCCAGCCCAAGACTTTGGGTTTTGCTTCGTGACGAAATTCTCGGAGTTCTAGTGAGAAGACGTGAACAATGGAGTTCAGCCCTGTCGGGTGTAGGCAGCAATAACCGAAGGCAATAGGCTAGGTTGTGAAAAATCCTTAGATTGATCACAGTTAAACATTAGCACTGTTGGATGCCAGTTCAATGGTAAGAGGTTAAAGGTTCACGCGTGTGGGTTCGAAAATTGAAAATAACAGGAATTGTGGATGTGCACTGGTGATGAGTCAGTCCCGTAACAGGACAAAACGGCCGTCCAGTGCTTCCTGCTTTCTAATGGTGGTTTAACAATGATTCATTCATGATTTCGATATAAAAATATCTGTATTATAAGATACAATCAATGAGTTTTACCTAGTAATGGAATCAACAACGGGGATTTGTTCTATTTGAGATTCTTTATCTAGATGTAAAACACTAACCAATTATTAGTTCTTTAATTTTAAATTTTGAAAATCTTTGTTATTCTAGTAGAATTCATAAATTATGGTTTCTATTTGTTGGGGATGTTAGATCCCCAAAACTCGCTTGTTAAATGCCTTATTTCGCCAGCATGGGCTGATCAGCTGATCTTGAGATTTCATTTCCCACCAGGAAAATCCATGGGTGTGGTTGGCTTCTGTGTATTTTCGTAACTGTCTCAAGGACGTTTCTATGATGTATAAATAAACCAGAGTTGTGTGCTTGGTTGTATTGTGATTGCTGGGTGTTTGTAGAATATACTTTCTACGCTTACAAAGCCTTTTATTTTCAGCTTGGGATTCAAGGTAACCCTATCTGGACGCTGGTAATTGTCTCGTTCGCGTTTATCGACTAAGGTGAACTCGTAATAGCTTCAAGCGTACATAGTGACAAACCCTACACTATTCTTAGTAATTAAATATTGGTAGGGTTTTATTTAGATGCCAGTGCCAAGGTGCCGATTGGCAAAGCAAGAGCAGCATTTCTACAACTACAGCACATTTGGAGCTCAATACAGCTGTCAGTCAATGTCAAAGTCAGAATTTTCAATACAAATGTCAAGATAGTTCTCTTATATGGAGCTGGAATCTGGAGAACTACACAAACCAGTATTCAAAAGATGCAGGAAGTTATAAACATTTGTCTACGCAAGCTACTGTGGATCTATTGGCCAGGTAACAACAGCAAAAACCTACTGTGGGAGAGAAAAAAGCAGCTTGAAGCTAAGGATGAAATTAGGAAAACACATTGGAGGTGGATGGGACACACACATTGTGGAAATCACCAAACTGTGTCACGAAGCAAACCTTAACTTAAAATCATCAACGTAAAAGGAGGACCAACGGAAACATTACGACAGTGATCGGAGGCAGACATCAAAGGAAGGAATAGGAACTGGGAACAATTGGAAAGGAGAGCCTAGGATATCGTTGACTGGACGATTCTGGTACGCGGTTCATCCTCCATGAGGGGTAACAGGCATAAGTAGTAAGCAGGTTTTACTAAGCTTTTAATCAGGTACAATCTGTCCATCATCCCGTTTTGACTTTGGCACAAATATTCAATAGACAATATCTGCAATTTAATCGATCTTTCAGTAAAATATACTTTCGATTAAAGAATATCAATAATATAATGAGCATTGAATAAACTGGTAGCTATATTGACACAACAGCTTACTATATGTATATAGCTAGTGGTGCGGTGTGTTTGAAGCAATCCGTAATGAGTTTCAATATCAGTCTGTCGGTTCAAGTTGTGATAGCAAATTAGTATAGCGAGATCAAATTATTTCAAAATAAGTCCCCGAGTGGTAAAAGAACTCATAGTGTTGTGCACGAAAACTCAGGTGAGGACATCAACATCTATATTTAAGCGAATATTACAGAGTTGTTAAGCATATGTAAAAAAACCTTCCCATGTAATCACCATTTGCAAACTAATTCTTATTTGTTTCAGATTTCAGTGTTCTTTCATTTAGACTGTTCAGACTTCAGTTCACTTTACGTTACCTACAAATCGCCTTCTGTTCTCATTCTTTCCTTCTCGATCTTTTGCTGCCAGACGTTTGATTTCCGTTTGATATCATATACTACTTATGTGAACATAAGTAGCGTACACCACAATAGTAACAACAGCGGTAGTAAATATCAGTCATAAAAAATTTAAAAAAAGTTTACGGTGATTTCAGGACTCAGATTCTGAGGGAAAACAAAGAGTGAATGCACATGAGTCACTGCAAACGATTTTGAGCCACTACCTAAAGTTTCTCATCGCTGGTTCTGATAATCACACATATGTGAATAGGTAACATTGACGCTACTACAACTAGGACATAAATCCAAAAATGAAAGACGCATCACGGATTCATATTTGTTGGAAATCGTCCATAAAAATATCTAATAGTTTTGAAATGACAGAGATTTACCACTCAAGTGGATGCTTTTGATAGTGTTGTGTTGTCTGAGCTAGATGGTTGAATTATAAAACCATTATTATCATTCTGGAAGATGATATCAATAGCGACTATTTTGTGTAAAAGTGGGTTTTTCAGTTGTTCTATTTAGATCAACTAATAATCAACTGGCACATCCCCACAGACTTAATCAGTGAACATAAACGGATAAGATCAATTAATGCATAAGGCTGGAAGTACACCAACAAAGACAACCGATCAGAAGAAGTAAGGCCCGCAGAACAAGCTAATACTTATGGAGTAGATGACCAGCTCATTTCTACATGTAAATGGATACTGTAACATTTATTCCGAATGACAGTACTGCTTCCGTGATCTGATTATCTAGTTTAACAAAAAAAACTTAATACAATCAAAAAAAAATATTTCATTAATATAATTTTACCAAACTTACCACATGTGCACCACTAGGATTATTATCACTTGTAGACATAGATGTGACTGTTGACGATGTGATAGTCGGTGTCGTAGGATCCAATGAATGATCAGTATTACCAACTTTTGTTGAATTTGTATCACATACAATAAAATCGTCAGTTCCACCTTCAGGATATCGATGTTTTTGAGGTCTGAAAAATGGAAAATAAAACATTGACAAAACACAAGCGAAAAACCAAATAATGTAGTCAATTTAATTTAATCAGATAATATGTATTCTTTTTAGATGAAGGTAAATGGTTCACGGAGTTCATTTAAACAATAATCGTATTTTGCGGCAGAGTTTTGGAGGTTATTTTTGTGTTTTCACATATTTGAAATCATCAATCAGTCAATGTTAGACCACCATTAGAAACCTGGAAGCGCTGGACGGCCGTTTCGTCCTGGTGTATGGGACTCATCAGAAGTGCGCATCCACGACTCCTGCTCCTCGCAGGATTCGAATCCGGGACCTTCGGTATTGCGCACGAACGCCTAACCATCGGACCACTGGGCCGGCATCCAACGGTGTTAATGTCTAACTCTGATTGATCGTATTATATTGCAGACTGACTTCAGTTGGAAATGTATACCAATGAGAGCTAACTCTTAATGATTCTAATGATTAGGAAATTCGTTGTAAGACCAAAGCGTCCTAGATTAGATCGCCTAAGGATTATGTACCAAGTTAGACCAAGTTCAGTAACTTGGATAGATATTTATAAACAAGAACTATGTATGTTATCATTCGACTTTGAACAACATAGCCAACAATAAATTTTCAGTCTTATTTTGTACAGCAAATTGAACAGTTTTTTTTACATAAATATTATATACTTACCGGCGCATTAATTCTAAATCGTATTCAACTTCATCATTAAACCATGATGGTAAATTTACAAGATTTTCAATATCTAACTCGATAATTTCTTTCGGTGTAGCAATTGCAATTGCATTGTAATTAATCTAATAATCAGAATACAAACAAACAAACAAACCAAAAAAACATTGTCAAATAATAACATTTGATCAAAAAAAATAATGACTGAATTTATAAATCGATTAGAAAACTAATCTCTCCTCCTATCACATTTAACCTTGAATAGGATCTTTTTATTTAATCAAAAGACAAAACTATTTATTGATCATCAAACTTGATTTGGAAACTAAAACTAACTAGCTATAAAGTCAAAGTGTCAGTGCATCTGAGTCACTTCAATGAATTTTGAGTGATATATGATTGAAAATCTAACCAATCTATTTGTTATGATAATCGCGCGGCCATAAACTAAATAACAGTCAGTAACTGCTAATATGACTTAATAAAACAGTCTATGAAATCGTGGATTGATGTCACAACTTCTTTTGAACTCTTCTAGCTTTCTTCTAATCTGTTTGTACACCAGCGAGTAACGTAAAAAAAATACAACACAACAATTTACATTCCTATTGAAAAGCATATAAAAAAATGGAGCCAAACGAAAAGAATCTATAAAGTAGAATGTAACTATTGTGTTTTTTGATTCACCATTTTATACTATTTAAAAAACACCATATTTTTTCTAAGTATTAAAATTCGACAGTTACTAGAAATGAGACGTAAGATATACGTTTCGTCCTGATACGACGAATTCACCAATTGGATGTAACTATATATCGAAATCACTACTTTTCGATTGGTTTTAAGTGAAGTATATTAAGGTGGATGGTTTTGAAAAACTAGTGCATTTGGCTTGAAAGCATTCAACAACATAAACTTTTGTAAAATTGAATATCAGGTAAATTCACTGTTAGTTCAGTGTCGGATCTAACTGGTACTTTACTTACTTACTTACTTACTTACGCCTGTTACCCCCAATGGAGCATAGGCCGCCCACCAGTTCTCTCCAACCAACTCTGTCCTGGGCTTCCCTCTCCAGTTCTGTCCAATGTTTGTTCATTCCTCTCATATCTTTCTCTATTTCTCGGCGTAGTGTGTTCCTTGGCCTTCCGCTTTTCCTTTTGCCTTGAGGGTTCCATGTGAGGGCTTGTCTCGTGACGCAGTTGGGTGCTTTTCGTAGTGTATGTCCTATCCACTTCCACCGCTTCTTCCTGATTTCCTCCTCCACTGGAATCTGACTTGTTCTCTCCCACAGTTCGTTGTTGCTGATGGTGTCTGGCCAACGAATACGAAGTATTTTGCGTAGACAGTTGTTAATAAACACTTGTATCTTCTGAATGATGGCTTTGGTAGTTCTCCATGTTTCCGCTCCATACAGTAGAACTGTCTTGACATTTGTATTGAAAATCCTGATTTTGGTTTTGGTTGAAAGTTGTTTGGAGTTCCAGATATTTTTCAACTGTAGAAATGCAGCCCTCGCTTTGCCAATCCGTACCCTCACATCTGCGTCCGATCCACCTTTCTCGTCGATGATGCTGCCAAGATATGTGAAGGTGTTAACGTCCTCCAAGGCATCCCCATCAAGAGTGATTTGATTGGTGCATGTTGGGTTGCATCGGAGAATTTTGCTTTTTCCTTTATGTATGTTGAGACCTACTGCTGCAGAGGCTGCTGCTACACTGGTCGTCTTCTCTTGCATTTGTTGTTGAGTGTGCGATAGAAGAGCCAAGTCATCCGCGAAGTCCAGATCGTCCAGCTGCGTCCTAACTGTCCAGTTGATAGCGTGCTTCCCTCCAGATGTTGACATCTTCATAATCCAGTCGATGACCAGGAGAAAGAGAAAGGGTGAGAGTAAGCAACCTTGCCTGACACCGGTCTTCACCTCAAAAGAGTCTGTCAGCTGACCTCCGTGCACGATTTCGCAGTTTAATCCATCATAAGAATTCCGTATGATGTAGACTATTTTCTCAGGCACACCGTAGTGTCGAAGAAGCCTCCACAGTGTTTTCCTATCCATGCTATCAAATGCCTTCTCGTAGTCGATGAAGTTGATGTAGAGTGGTGAGTTCCATTGAATTGATTGTTCCACAATGATCCGTAATGTAGCAATTTGGTGAGTACACGATCGATCCTTACGAAATCCGGCCTGTTGATCTCGAAGTTGGACGTCTACGAAGTCCTTCATTCTGTTTAACAATACTCTGTTGAAGACTTTGCCTGGTATTGAAAGAAGAGTGATGCCTCTGTAGTTCTCACACTTGCTGAGATCGCCTTTCTTTGGTATTTTGATCAGGTATCCTTCTTTCCAATCTGATGGTACTTGTTCCTCATCCCAAATCTTCTTGAAGAGAATGTGAAATATTTTCGCAGTTGCTTCCACATCTGCTTTCATTGCCTCTGCTTGAATGTTGTCTGGTCCTGCTGCTTTGCCGCTCTTGATTTGTCTGATGGCCATACTGATCTCCTCAATCGTAGGTGCGCCAATATTAATTGGGAGGTCCTTGGATGCTGCTTCGATGTTGGGTGGGTTCAGTGGAGCTGGTCGATTCAATAGTTCCTTAAAGTGCTCCACCCACCTATTTCGCTGTTCGTCAGTGTTGCTGATTATTTTCCCTTCCTTGCTTTTCACTGGTCGTTCTGGTTTACGATAGTTTCCGGCGAGCTTCTTTGTTGTTTCGTACAATTGTCTCATGTTTCCTTCTCTTGCAGCCTTTTCCGCCGTCATTGCTAGATCTTCCACATATTTTCGTTTGTCAGCTCTGATGCTCTTCTTCACTTCCCTGTTTGCTTCTGTATACTCGGCTTGCGCCTTAACTTTCTCTGCTCTTGTTCGGCTGACATTCACTGCTGCCTTCTTGTTCCTCCTTTCTTCAATTCTTTCAAGAGTACCAACAGACATCCAATCCTTGTGATGGTGCTTCTTGCGACCAAGGACCTCCTGACATGTTGAAGTGATTGCCTCCTTAATCCCTTTCCAATTGTACTCCAATGTTGCTTCCTCTCCATTGAGTAGATCCTGAAAGGCCTGGAACCTATTGGTGAGGGCTATCTTGAATTCGCTGAGTTTTACGGTATC